AATACTACGCAGTATAATTTATATTTTGGTCCATATATGAGTACCAAACTAATATATACATATAGGAATGTTAATTATTAGGTAGGGCAAATTGACGACTGTAGAGTTGTTTCGCAATACAGAACTCAACACACAATATACATTTGGATCTAACCAACAATCATAGGTATTATGTATAAAAAATAGCGTTATTGTTAGATTATTTTATATAATACAAGCTGTTTTCTGCGGCTTTGCTCGTGGTCATATCGTGATATTGATTAATACTACAAACTTCTTCAAGAAAAGTATTATAAAATGTAAAAAGAATTTTTGTTCCGACTAACAGTTCTAGAGATAATAATATTATAATAAAGCGGAAGTGTTTGTTTGTTTGTATACAATCGAAATGTTAAATCTTACTTTAAAGTAGCTAGGTTGTTGTGACTTGTTTATAACACTGCCAATTTCTGTCACAAAATAATTCGATGAAATCCGTCTCGAACTTGTCACAAATACATATACAATTAACATATAATACATCATAAAATTCTAATATCGAGTGCATATATAAACGCACATATAACAATCATAATTTAGAAATCCCTTAATATATCTATCCATTAAGAGTTCAAGAAGTTATTAGATTTTTTTAACAAAACATAATATGTGAAAAATCTGGATAAATAAAGGATACTTATTACATTATTAACTTATTACATTCGAGTGCAATGATTTTTCTGCACATTTATCTCACTAAAAACGTAACGAAGTTGAAATTTATGCAAATTTAAAAGCTATGAAATTATTAAAAATAATATTTTATCGTTAAATCTCCTATTTCAGGTAGTTGCCAGTTTCTTTCAATACTCGTATGTTTAAAATCTAAAAATGGAACACGTAAATGTTTATATTACCACTAGTAAATAGTATACCGCTTTCAAAGTAAAAGGGGCAGGATTTGTAAATTATTTTTATACATGTTTTATTTGGTCTGGTTGTTGTTAGAAAATATTATTTAGAAAAATAACCTGAATATGTTTTTACGTTAATTTTCTTCTAGCAAAAGTAATTCTTCATTTTAGTCGCGTTGTCTTGTAATAGATTCGACATGAAAGACAATGTTTTTTTTTTTTATATTTCTGCAGTTGTGCTTGAATATTTCAGTTTTATTAATATTACTTGTTTCTGCTTACCCTTTCAGGTTAAACGTACTATTATTATCCTACTATTTTATAATGTACCTCCTAGCCTTGTGAAGTTGTTTGAATGCAATTCAGTTCTAAATAAATTTAGTATAAACATGGGTCATAGTCTTGATTTAACACAGCACATTTTTACCTTAACTTACGTGGGGAAAGCTATCAGATGGAACTAGTTAGAAATATTTGGTAAAAACGTGATTCAAATAATCGAAACGAAATAGCTTTTGAACGCACGCCGCTATAATTCTAACATCGATATTCAATCACGGGCTACGCTACGAGTAGTAGTAACATCGTAGGTGGTTATCAATTTATCACCAAGCTCCATATTATATTATAAATTTAAGCATAATATTATCATTTGAACTACACAGGTGTGAAAACTGTCAACTCGATATGTTTATTGAAAGTGGGTAAAGATTTAAATAATATATATTGATTCAAATGCATATTTAAATTTTATTAAATAAAAAAAGGAATGCGCCAGTTTCACATTCCAATACATTAATCATTATAATCAGCTTTGCTTATCTTTCCGTAAGTATATAATACCTACATGCTTGTTATTTTTTCCACTGACTTCCTTTTTGCTTTCTATCGATAGTAAGCTACGATTTTAAATGGTTAGCATTATGTTATATTGTTATATGCCAGAGGGAGACTTTGTACAAAAGTCGATTGCTTGGGTACCTCTGTCCCATTCGTGTTTCAACCGTGAAGCAGTTGTGTTTGCATGGCTGTATTTCGGTTTGAAGGGTGGGATATGGCGTGAGTTTACTGGGTACAGAGGAATAACACCTGAGTCCTCAGGAATGGCAACTCATGGGAGGTATCAGTACCATGGACATAACAGTATACTCTGTTATGTCTATGGTACTGCTCATGTCTATAGGCGACGGTTACCACTTTCCATCAGGTGGGCCGTCAGCTTGTTTGCCATTCTAAGTAGTATAAAAAAAAGGTTAACAGTAATGTTGCTTAAAATAATCATATGTACTTTCGTTTTTATTGTCACATATTATTAATGAATGAATGAAAATCTCTTTATAGTTCCTCACAAAGACTTACACCCTTATATATATATAAGGGTTTATCCCATATATAAGTTTTGACTACTTTCCAACCGAGCTTGGTATCAGTGGTTTAGCTTTTAGATATAAAATTTTAGACAAAAAATAACACTTGAAGTCGGTTTTTTTTTTTGTGGGACGTAATCTTTAATTATTTCTACACATTCATAGTTTTCTAGGTAAATAGCAATATTATCTTTAAATATACACATATATTAAATAATTTGAAAACAGTAATGAGTATATATATTTGCGGATTTTCTGGGTTGCAGATTGTCATATTAAATGTTTCTCGACATAGAACACAGTGCAGACTCTTGGAAAATTGCCAAATGTATAAGTCAGAACTGATCTGAAGCCTAGAAAATTTGTCTAATTCCTAAGAATTTGAGTAATAGTAAAACAAAATTTTCATTACTAGTATATAATCTAATTGTCTTACTAACGTTCGAACTCGAATATTTAAACACTACAAAATGGAGGAGAAAAGATTGTTAGTAATGCGGATTACCAGTCCTATTGTTAGTAATATACTCTATCAGATCGACCTTCACGCGGTCCCCCTGGAGGTGCCTCATCAGTGTATACTATTAGCGTAGCCGGGATTACCATTTTATTATCTTCCATTAAAAAAAAAAAAAAAACAAAATTATTTGTAAACTTTCTTATAAAATATGTAACGCAACGCAGGTCTCTGTTTTCTCGAAGAAAAACTACTATTTACTATACGTGCTTTGGTTTCTTTTAAGTACGGTTCATTATAACTATTCATCCTCGTCCTGAATACTAACGTCAAGTAAAAGTTGTTATTTTTGTTTTTAAGTGTCGTCCTCAAACATTGGCAGATTATAATTTGCTAGTCTCCCAGGTGGAGTCGAATAAATTTACATTGCTTAACAACAAAAAAAATCTATACAAACCTAATATTAACAAGATAATATTTTACGTTTATCAGCAAATATATGAGAATAATGGTTCAGTATTTTTATAGTCGAATAATATAATGTCCATATGATATGAGTGTAATCACTACTCCTTTTTAACCCTAGGATATCGTCAGAGTGACGAGGGAAATAGAATTAGACTTGTGCTCGAGTACATTAGAAAATACGAATTAAAACTACATCAAGCTTCCTGACTTAAGGGACTTCCTGGTTTAACGGATTTTGCCAGTAGTTGCCATGCTTAGTAGGCGAGTTGACAACCGCAGTTAGACTTTGATGATGTTTTAAGAGAGACGCTGCTGGCCATCCCTTGACCATTAAGTTCCCTTAGTTTCTTCTTACGACACCCATGGGAAAGGAAGGGAAGGCCTATTCTTTGCTGAGATCACACGGTTAACGGGGTTATGATTATTATTATACATAATTATTCTGAAACTTTTAATAGCAAAATCTTTGTTAGATTATGTGTAACGCGTCACGAAAGGCATTGACTTGGGACCTTCGCCATGGCCTTTCTAACTTGTTTAATTTATGGCCGGCTAATGCCGCACCGTTATAATGCCGGTAAAAATAAACAGACTTGATTAATACGCAACGAAGTGGGTGCGCAGACGGCGCGTCGCAGTGCACCGCCTCGACAAAATTAAGTAGTGTGCCTTCGTAATCGCTATTCATAGTTCGAAACCCACATACGAATAGATCGGATAATGTGCCCCCAGCAAATTTCCGAGCGATGACCCCGCGGATCCCTGCCGAGCGTTCTGTATTCTATCAATCAATGAGTTTGTAATTTCCTGTATCTTACTTACTTAATCAACATTAACTTAATAGGGTTTGTGGTAAAGGGTATACATACTTGTAGCCTATTGAGAGTATGTCACGTGATTCATTTAAAATGAAGGATTCAATTATTGCTCTCATGTTTCAATTACGTTTCTTGAGAATAATTCATATACCAATATAACATATCCATAATTATATGTATATATAGGCTTCAGGTTGATATACCCTTTATAATTAATCCTCTTTATGTAGAGATAGCTTTATCGAATGCAACTTCTATTCCATTTTATCTATCAGTTGTTACCTGATAATATGGCGTGATTAATGATAATGGGAAAATTGTAAACACAAACCTTTGTTCCAATCAAACAATATAATCATAATTTGACTCCTTTATGTTATCAATAACGTATGATACATGGGAATGTAATTTAATTGTAATGCAAAAAGATAAACGTTTGTTTCTGATATGAATAGCCAACGCAAGGCCAACTGCAGGGGGCCTCTCAGTCATACGCCTGGGAACGAGGCTTTGTGCCGGTCTCCACTTCACGGAGCACTGTTTCATTGCAATACGTCGATAGGTTTTGCTCATTGTTACTAGTTTCACTATTCAACATTCCGCAGGTTTGCTTTTTGCTATGAGTACTGTATAAATTGCAGTGAATAGGTTTCTTTAGCAAAATAAAGCATCAGGCACTTCTGTTCTCCGATATCTTGTTCTGATTATTTTAAACAATTTTGCGTTTAGACACATTTTACTAGTATATTACAATTTAGAATTGTAATCATATTTTTCTTAAATTATAATTTATACGATTTAAAGCTTTTGATGGCAGTATCAAAGACAAAGGCAGTAACCTCCCTAGGGGCAACGATGTCTCGCAGCATAACACTAGCACAATGAACATTGAATGTAATTCTACAATACTGTTGTATAGAACTAAATGTTTGCTACCTAACAATTATAATTTCTAGCTAAACCTTTACTCAGGTACCAATTGTTTCTTATGTTACAGAACATGTGACATACGCAATGGCAGAGGAAACTACTACGTGTGCCGGTGAGGTTCATGACTCGCCATCGAATAAATTGGAGACCAATGAAAATACCCCTAACGTTGCAACAGACCAAGTTGAAGTATCTATATCTACAGTTACTTCTAATGGACTTGATAATGATCAAAGTTTAAACAGAGAGGAGAGTGGTGTAGTTCTGGATAGATTTGGGGATTGTAAAGGCGCAGTGACAGACTTGAAGGAAACTTTCAGTGAGCATGAAACGTGTGAAGTAAACGACGATGTACGGTCAATAGGTGACTTGGATAGTTTGCCGGCTGGGGACGAACTCGCTCTAAACGCTGCGGGCAGTGACAGTGGAGTAGAGGGTTGCGGACGGGCGCTTAGTAGCGGTGGCGGCTCGCGATCATGTGCTTCTAGTGTAGTGTCATGTGGTTCCGGATGTGGTTCCGAGAGCTCGTCACTAGCCGGAGCGCCGCCCCGTCCTCGTCGTCGTGTCAATGTAACCGTAACGGAACCTAAACGTAGCTCTCCTATTGGAACGTCAACGCCACGCCCTGTTACTGCACCCCGCGGTCCTAATTTAGCAACTCGTGAACGCGCAAGAAGTCGAGAGAAACCAACTCCACCCGAGAAGCCCCGCCCCTTGACACCGAAACCGCGAATCCGTCCGACCGGTGACTTGCCAAACCTCATACGCGAAAGTCCCGCGTTGCGTGCGAAGCCCACCAAGACGTCGACTGCACGATGTAGAACTCCTAATTCCCCTAGTGAAGAAAAACGCTGGCCGGCAAATGGGCCTCGATTGACGACTAATTCTACCGACGCAAGTGCCACGCGCAATGCTGCCGACAAGTATGGAACTTTACCGCGTAGGCGGCGGGACGCAGAAACAGATGGCTCACCTAAACATGAAAGTACTCCGCCTTCATCTAGAAGACCAACAGTAGTGCGTTCTTCTTCTTCCCGTACTACAATAAAAACAAGAGTGCGAATATATGCTGAAAAAACATGTCAGACAGTACTTCTGGGGAGCGATGTGGAGTCAGCGTTATCGGGTGTTATGCCTAATATTGAAACGTAAGTTATATATATCTATGTTATAATAAATAGTTGTCTAAAGCTATTCATTCAAATCCGTTCTGCCATTTAACAGATTAAGTAACAATAATCTAAACAAATTTTTACAGTTTTACATAATAGAATTTGTTTGCAATACTTAATTTAGTATTGTGTTATTATTGCTACTTATTGCATGGTATTAGTTTTTATAAAATTTTGCTTCACTTTGTATATAAAATTTCCATCAATGCAACAATCTTCGATACAAAGCTTCTTAGCCGCAAGCCTTCCTTTTTACACTAGTTTGGACCTTAGCAGCGTGCGGCTTGTCATAAAAGCTCGGTCTCGAGGACAATTCATAGATGCTGCCGTGCTTTCAGTGCCACGTACCGTTGAACTCGGAATCGTGGTCGAGCGATTATTATTCCCTTCATGTTTTGTTTGTGTACGAATATATTTCCATAAGTAAATGAAATCCACATTATGATATTATAGTCCGCAGTCGTCAAATGTAATGTTTGTTTAAAGATCTTTACACTTATAAACGATATAAATGTCAATGGACCTAAAGTGTATAATAGAATATTTTGTAGTCAACCTAGTTTGATTGTCAATTGGCAGACGAGTGGAGGTAAGCCGCTGCCACCGTGGTGTGCAAGCGAGTGCCCGCGACGCGGAGTGCCAGCGGCTGGCGAACGCAGCGGCGGCGGCCGAGGCGGCGGCGGCGGCGGAGCGTGAGCGGCGGCTGCACGCCGAGTCGCAGCTGGCGGCCGAGCGCGCCGCGCGCCTCGCAGCCATGGCCGACCTCGAGCGGAACACCCAGCGGCTGCTCGAGCTCGCCGGCGCCGGTCAGTAGTACTTTGTTTAATGTAATGGGGACTAGCGACTCTGATTTTAGTAAATCTAAATCGATGAAAATGAAATGGCGCCCCCGCTTATTATGCTAACGGTATATAAATGGCGGCAATTAACCATGACGGTTACCACTGAACTGCGTGAAGGTCGTCCGGAATACATTTGTTTTTATGGATGAAAATGGAATGGTAACCTCGCCTTCGCTATCGGGATACGTTGGTGGGGCACCAATTAGGGATGATAGGTGAAGATGAAGCAGGTCAGTTGGCCCATCGTGATGAATTCATTAAAAATTAATCATGATGATTTCCAGGGAAAACCGCATGGAGGTCGACCTGTTAGGGTATATTGCAAGTAATAGGTTTGTTCGATCTCATTACTAACAATCCCTGTTCCTTCTCCTGAGTATATTGCTAGCAATGAGGACCGATCTCCCCATTACAAACTATGCCTTGACAATACAAATGCAAAATAATATGCTATATTTTGCTATAAGGTAAATGTAATTATTCTAAGGTTTAGATTAAAATATTTTCCTTAGTGTTCAGCGTTATCGCACTGTATAAAACATACATTGAGATTGTTGAATTAAATGAGTAAATAAGTAATAAACAAAATTCATATTTTTTTTTTTTTTTATTATATCTACGATTTTGTCGTTGAATTTAGTCTAATGTCATATATTTATATATCTATATTGCTTTTGTCATTTCCGATAATTGTAGATATCGGATAAAAATGGGCATAAGTTTTAAAATTAATAAAGCCGTATAGATTGGTTTGTAAGCTGTGTTCTAAACGACTCGTGGTGGATGTTAGGCGCGGAGGCGGGCGCGGACGCGTGCCTGCGCGCGCTGGAGGAGCAGCTGCGGGCGGCGCGCGAGCTGGCCGCGCGCCAGCGCGCCGACGGCGACGCACTGCGCGCGCGCTGCGACGCGCTGCACCACGTTAGTACGCTGATCGAAACCACACACACATGTGGACTGATATGATAATGATGATTTAGTAGTAGCCTGCCAAAGATATTAGAAGCCGCTCAGAAATACATTTCGCAAACATGCTTGGAAATGTGAGCATTATTTTGACAATCTTCTTTGAGATAAATCAAAATTGCCATACTGGCTAGATATATGCGGGCAGCGGCCGGTAAAAGTTGTATGCAAATCCATATCTGTCGTGTTTTGCGGTCAGATAAATTACTATGTAAACTCATATCTGTCCTGTAATTTAAAAATGGAATGACCTTATACTTCGAAACATGGCTACCTAAGGAGGTAACTAATAAAAGGTTTTATTTAAATTTCGAACTGGTTTGCAAATAGAAAGCTGTTTATTGAAAAAAAAAACAAAGGAACATTATGGCGCGTGAAAAATTATTATTGTTCATTATTCGTCATTGAACTTAAAAAGTAAAGTTGTGTTTTTGATTTCCGTGCATTGTTTGAGAAAAGTACTATACAAGCCTTGGCCATAACTAGGCATTAATGGACTCACGTATCACGCCTAAGCCCACATTTGCACGTTCGTCCATCAATGCCTCAGTTGCTGGCCGCTGCAGTAATGTAGTATTAAAATCGGTCAAATATTTTTGAGTTTATCGATTACAAACAAATCTTTCCTCTATATAATATTAACATAGAATAAGTTAAGACTACTTTAATTTTTGGTGATTTGAGAAAAAATGCTTTCACTAAATTGTTAATTTAAAATTAAGTGCATGTCAGTTTAGAAACGATTCCAATAATACACGTGTAATCACGGTAAGGAATAAAAATCATTATGTACTTATTGATTAATGTAATTATTTATAGCTACATATATACCACATCCTAATGTCGACTTAAATAAATTTGTTATGACAAATTACGTCATTTTGTTATAACTAACCTATTTTATTTGTAGTCAATAAATTTATTGCAAATTCAATTTTAATAACATACATACATAGTACAAATTAAAAACCAATTACGCACGAAAACAATAATTTAAACTTCGAAATAAACACGCAATCTATTATTTTACTATTGTTATTCATTTTAATCGTTTTACTGTTCAATTAATTAATTATTAATGTTAGCCTTTGGTTAGGAGGAAAATATAAGAAAAAAACATATGGAAACGCTATTCGAAATATAAATTCATAATGTTCTGATTTATTACATTGTTTGGTTATGTGGACACCATGGACTTTTATCTGCTGTCGATTATCCGGATCATTGGACTTCAGATTGTTGATCCATCAAGCTTTATTTTATTAATATTTTGTATATGCACATTTTGAACTTGTTTACATATATGAAATACACTTAAAAGATTGTTGTTCTAAAAAAACTGTATCTCCTCCAAAAATTATCCAATTTTAATAATTTTTCTACAGCGAGCTAAACAGCAGCTGATTTCACGAACGCTATGGCGTCCGTGGCACTTTTAGTTACAATGCTCACGAGCGCGATGGCGCTCGTCGGCACTCAAACGGTTACTAACAAAAAGTATTTAAAAATAGTAATTTTAAAGAAACTAATAAAGAGGTTTCATTCGGACGGCAGGAGGCGCGTATGGCTCGCGAGACGGCGCGGTCGCTGGAGGCGCGGCTGGCCGAGGCCGAGGAGATGCAGGACTTCCTCGCCGCCGAGACCAGCGCGCTCAGCGACTCGCTGCGTGATACCGAGGCCGAGCTCGCGCGCGCCACGCTCGACCGCGACAAGAGGTGTGCCTCCCACCACTATCGACCAGTGCCCACTAGTGGACCCAACTACCACACAATCCCTGCAACTTAGAATGGCAAACAAGCGAACGGCTCACCTAATGGAAAGTGGTAACCGTCGCGTATACACATGAGCAGTAGCATGTACATAAAAGAATATATTGCTTCGCTCATGATACCCCCCATGCATTGCTATTCCTGAGGATTCAGGTGTTATTCCTCTATACCCTGTAAATTCACTGCCACATCCCACCTTTCAAACCAGGGGGAAGGGATTGTTAGTAATGGGGAGGTTAGTCCCCATTGTTATTAATATTCCCAGAGGAATCTTTGTGACTAATTTATTGTTGAATTTGTCATGATGAGCTAACTGACCTGCCTTTTCATCTTCACCAATCATCATTCACTGGTGCCCTGCCAGTGTATACCGATAGTACAGGCGGGGTCATCATTTCATCATCATAAACACAACTGTTTAACGCTAGAAACATGAATGGGACAGTGGTGTCCAAGCAAACGACTTTTGTACAGTCACCTTCTAGTAATCTAAATCATAGATATTTGAAGGGCATCATTATTATATATATGTATATAATGTATTATATACATGTAATACATCTACATATATATAATGTTATTATTTTAATTTTGTCTAGTTTGCTTAAAAATTGTCACAATACTGTACACCGCTCTACGCACTGACATTGATGTTCCTTTCCAGTTTGGGTGTTGCTGGAAGAAAACTTTATTAGAGTTAAGCTTGCCTTTGTATATTTAATTACCTCTGTCATATTCTTATAACTGGTGTGTACAATAAATAATTAAATAAATAAATCATAGAGTATATAGATATGGGGGAAAGAGATCGTTAGTAATGGAGACTAAAAATAGGTAAATAATATATCCCATTACTAGCAATGGGATATTACCCAACTAGGTCGACCTCCTCGCGGTTCCCCCTGGAAACTATCATGGTTAATTCCTGATGAATTCATCATGATGGGCTAACTGGCCTGTTTTCATTCTCATCGATCACCCTTCACTGGTGCTCCGCCAGCGTATCCCGTTAGTGCAGGCGAGGTTACCATACCATTTTCATCCATCAAAAAAAATTTGACATGATAAACATACCATGTAAAGTCCTTATAAGTAACAACTAATAAGGGGTCGCTGTTCTCCATTGCTAAGAATCCTTTCCCCCGAGAAACTGTGGCTTAAATTATATAGTTTGAGATTATTTTCCAATACTGAACAACTATTGCAATGTACTGGTTACAGGTATGTTGCTTATATAAAATTAGACAAAAATATTTAGTTTGAGACACTTATTCGACATATGGAATTCTGGTAACCCTGACTATTCCATTTTCATTCACCAAAAAAAAAAAACGTATATAGATAGTGGTTAGATAGTACGATTATCATTTATCCGAGCAGTAAGTGCTTTATATTATTCCTAAATTCGTGTATAATATAGTATATATCATATATGTGTAAGTATATTTGTTATTCATATATATTTATTCGTTTATATATGTAATTTTAATATGTATGTGTATCAATAATTAGTAGAACCGCATTCGAGTATTCTGCCACTTGCCTACGGTCGACTGGGAGAGAATGCTTTAAGCATTAAGTCCGCCATGTAGAGATATTTGTAGTAATGAATAAATAAATACGATGAAGTGTGCGTGTGTGCGCCGCAGCCGCACGGAGTGCCGGCAGCTGGTGCGCGTGTGCGAGCAGCGGCGGCAGGAGGCGCTGGCGGCGGCGGCGGCGCGGCGCGCGGGCGCGGGCGGCGCGGGCGAGGCCGCCGCGCTGCGCGCGCTGCACGGCATGGCGCGCCGCCTGCGCGCGCTCACCGCCGCGCTGTGCGCCGCCTACCGCCTGCCGCCGCACGCGCTGCACCCCACCGTCTACCACAACGACGCCTACAGGTGCGCCGCACCACACCACATACACCACACACGACGCCTACACACACTGGCTCCGGCACAACTTTATCTATATAATATTGCGTGATAATAAATAGTCGCGTACACATAGTGGTTCCGTACATAATGCTTCCACAAAAGCGGCTCAACTTTTTCATACAAATTTGCGTGATAATAAATAAATAAAGATAAAGATATAGTACATTACTGCAGCGGCCAGCAACTGAGGCATTGATGGACGAACGTGCAAATGTGGGCCAAGGCATAGCCGAGGCACACATACGTGAGTCCATCAATGCCTAGTTGTGGCCAAGGCTTGTATAGTACTTTTCTCAAACAATCCGCGGAAATCAAAAACACAATTTTACTTTTTAAGTACAATGACGAATAATGAACAATAATAATTTTTCACACGCCATAATGTTCCTTTGTTTTTTTTTTTTAATAAACAGCTTTCTATTTGCAAGCCAGTTCGAAATTTAATAAAAACCTTTTATTAGTTACCTCCTTGGTAGCCATGTTTCGAAGTAAAAGGTCATTCCATTTTTAAATTACAGGACAGATATGAGTTTACATAGTAATTTATCTGACCGCAAAACACGACAGATATGGATTTTCATACAACTTTTGCCGGCCGCTGTACGCATGTATCTTGGCCAGTACGGCAATATTGATTTATCTCGAAGAAGATTGTCAAAGTAATGCTCACATTTCCAAGCATGTTTGAGAAATAGTACATTACTGCAGCGGCTGACAAGAGAGGCATTGATGGACGAACGTGTGAATGTAGGCCGAGGGGAACCCGAGGCATACATACGTGAGTCCATCAATGCCTAGTTGCGGCCAAGGCTTGTATAGTACTTTTCTCAAATAATGCGCGGAAATTATTCAAATTCACGTTACGTTTCATTAAAATTGTGCATTTTAGCATTGAATAGATGACCCAAAGCGTTGTAGGCTTCACTTTCTTGGCGAGTTCGCCGAAATAAGCCAGAGAAACATTATCGGATAAGGATTTCGATTTTCTTTCATTCTTCCATTGAACAAAATTTTCATAGATTTTCAAATATTTTTCTTTAGATTTTGGCGACAACAAGTTTTCTACTACGGCTCTTGCTGCCTCTTGAATTTCAGGTGGCGTTAAAATAATTTCATTACACTCATTGTCTTCACTTGAACTCATTTTGTCAAATACAAAAGTATTTAAAACCAATGACGAAGTTGACGAACAACTAATAACAATAGCTTTTTACGCGCCAAAGTATTATTTTTTTTCACTAAACAGCTTTCTATGTGCAAGCCAGTTCGAAATTTAAATTAAACCTTTTATAAGTTACCTCTTTGATCGCCATGTTGCGGAGTAGAAGATCGTTCCATTTTTAAATTACACGACAAATATGATTTTACATAGTAATTTATTTGGCCGCTAAACACGACAGATATGGATTTTCATACAACTATTGCCGGCCGCTGCTCGACCAGTACCGCAAGTTCGATTTATCTCGAAGAAGGTTGTCAAAATAATGCTCAAATTTCCAAGCATGTTTGAGAAAAAATTATTTGCAAACATGTGTACATAGTAACTGCAAAAACATACTTGTTGTTCATTGTAGGATTTGTATAGTTCTAACATGTTTTGCTAACATTAGCGTGCAAAATATTACTTCAAGGACAGTGGCAATTTTAAGTGCCTTACAAAATAAATCTATGCTATCTATCTATCTATGCCTTACAAAACATATTAATGTTTTGTGAAGATTATATTATAGTTACGAGTGATTTCTATATAAAACATTTTTTTTATACAACTTAGAATGCCGAACATGCTAACGGCCCATTTGATGGAAAGTGGTAACCGACGCCTATAGACATAAGCAGTGCCATGAACAACAGAGTTTTTTTTTATACAACTTAGAATGGCAAACAAGCTAACGGCCCACCTGATGGAAAATGGTAACCGTCGCCTATAGACATGAGCAGTGCCATGGACAACAGAGTTTTTTTTTATACAACTTAGAATGGCAAACAAGCTGACGGCCCACCTGATAGAAAGTGGTAACCGACGCCTATAGACATGAACAGTGCCATGGACATAACCGAGTATACTGTTTCGCCTATGATACCCCCCATGTGTTGCCATTCCTGAGGACTCAGGTGTTATTCCTCTGTACCCAGTAAATTCACGCCATATCCAACCAGATTTAGCTGACAAAAAGTTGAGCCGTTTTTGAGGCTTGATTTTTATGTATTTAATCTAAGGTTTCAATGAAATGCGCAATGCTAAACGAGGCTAACAACCATCTGATAGAATGTAGTGACCGTTGCTTATTGGCAGATATGCTACAGCTGCGTGTTGTACACAGCACCGTGAATATTATAGATTACACTGTGACATCCGCGTCAAATTAAAACAGACAAAAAACAATTTAGTAGAAATACGAGTAGAATTGATACACCCTTACAAGCTACTTTTATACAAAGTCTTTAATGATAACAAATGGAAACTGTAAAGCAATAAGCCACACTTATAATTTATCATAATATACTACGATATTGTACGATTTTACCGTCACGATATCCTTATAATATTCCCGTTTATTATATCGTCGCAAAAAATTAAGTTTATTTCCACACAGTAATTACATGTTTTTCGCTCTCTTTTATATCCTGATAGTAAAGTCATGCTCATTAAGTTTTGCTACGATACATTTTTGCAGCATCTAACTGATTTAATTGTGTAGTAACAATTTGAATTTCGAATTCATAATTCAGAGTGAATTCTATTTTTAAACAGTCGCAGCGACAGCGGCGAAGCACTATCCCCCGAGGACGAATCCCGCGGTGGTCTGCTAGCGGCCGTCACCCGAGCTTTGAAGGCAACACCCTCCGCCGCCTGCTCGGCCGCAGCTGCCGGCCACGTGCCCAACGACGACGACCGCTCGCGACTTTCAGATGATAACTCCGCTGACCTGCTCGACTCGGAGACCGAGCCCTGCCTCGTCACAGATCCTGGTACGTTTTACACGGTTCTGTTGCTAGCAGGATAGTTATACGAACCCACCTATAAACCATCATGATTAATTCTTGATAAGTTCATAACCAACTGGCCTGCTTTTATCCTCGCCGTAGTATTTTCATTATTATTTCAGCCGTTGACTGTCCACTGCTGAACATAAGCCTTCCCCATAAGGGAAGCCTTACTAATAGTTGCCACGTATGGCAGGTAGGTTGGCAAATACAGTTAGGCTTTTACAGATGTTTTAAGAGGGACACTGCTGCCCATCCCTCCATCATATGCTCCCATAGTCGCCTCTTACGACACCCACGGAAAAGGAAGGGGTAGTCCATTCTATGCTGGGACCTACACGGCGAATTTCTATTAATATCCAATAAAAATATCATATAAGTTTACGTCTTAAAAAAATATTTACTATTGTTATTTAAGACGTTTCGAAGTTTTCACATTTGGCTACGGTATCGTCGCAAAAATGCATTATTTTTATAGCAGTTCACACATTTTCTATTAGATTAAAATACGTTCATAGAAATGTAGGTAGAATGAGTGTTATCTTCACCATAACGGTAAGATTTGACATTTTATTCATATCTTATTTTATTCTTATTTTTAATAATAAAATAAAAATTCTAGTTTTTTAATCGATTGTTTGATAACATTATGTATAAGAATATTAAACGTATGTCGTGACACGGTTGCAGAATACGCGGAAGAGTGGTGGTCGGGTGCAGAGGGCGCTGGTGGCGCCTGGAGCGGTGAGGAACTATCGCCCGAGCGAGAGTCTTGCGACGAGGACAGAGGTATTGTATTTGTGATCAGAGGGTCTGCCATGAAATGGAGTTCCAAATTTTTTAATCTAATTTTGTGTTTTACTTACAAATGTTTTGTTCACAACTAAATCGACCCAGTAAACGGAGGTTAACATTTTGTTCGTCATAAATCCATAAAAATCCAAAGAATTTATATTTTAACATTTTTAAATAGTATGTATTATGGAATTATAACATCAAATTTTTCATTTGTTCGGCTCCCAAATTTCGGAATACATTTCATAGTAGCCCCTTTGGTTCTGTCGGATAAAATTATATAATATATAATTAATCAACTTATTTTGTATTATTTGTTACCTAATTACACTTTATCAGGTGTAAATCGATTTAGAATTTTTTTTTGTCTGTAAGGATATATGTACTTGTAGATTAGTTCTATAGATATTTTGTCAAAATCTGTTTAATTTTTAAGTCAAAATCGCTGGTTTTGCTACAATTGACATCGGTATTTTTGTGGAACACAATCTTAATTAACTTTTAACTGTAAGCCAATTATTAACTACTACTAGACTTCTAGATGGAAAACTATATAATTTCCTTTCGGTGTGCAGAGGACGCGGAGTGCATGTCGGAGCGCGAGTCGCTGCAGCAGCTGTCGGCGGCGATCGTGCAGCGGCAGCGCTCCGAGGCCGAGGACGCGGAGCGCGGCGCGCTGCTGGACCGCGTGCTCGCGCTCGACGACCACTTCGCGCAGCTGCTGCGCGCGCTGCGGGCCGCCGCCGCCGCCTCCTCCTGCACCTCGGACTCGATGCTCGTCGCCGCGCTCAAGTAACCGCTACATATTTATAAGATCGCTATTTTATTTTTATACAACTTAGAATGGCAAACAAGCTGACGGTCCACCTGATGGAAACTGATAACCGTCGCCTATAAACATGAGCAGTACCATTGATATAACAGAGTATACTGTTTCGCCCATGATACCCCCCATGTGTTGTCATTCCTGAGGACTCAGGTGTTATTCCTCTGTGCCAGTGCTCAGTAAATTCACGACATATCCTACCCTTCAAACCGAAACACAGCCATGCAAACACAACTGCTTGACGGTTGAAACACGAATGGGACAGAGGTACCCAAGCTGTGCGAAGCCGCCACAATCATCGCCGCCTTTACTCGCACCGCAGATTCATTGTTCGTCGGCACGATCAAATAAAGTGTCTTACATTTGTATCATACTGGCTCCACTCAATGCCTCCTACACGAGCCGTCCGTATGGTGGGAAAACCTATGTGTAAATTAATGTGAAATTGTCTTTACCAAAACGTGTTTCCTTCAACCTACAACCTCGGATCCTTCAAACGTAGCGTTAAAACGTTACTAGCGTTACTAACTTACTAAGTGAGTACAGCATAGTGCAGCCAACTGTTTAGAGTAAATAATTTTCTTTTAGGTTGTTCGTATTATGAATACTATACCGTCTCTGTTCGCTCAGAATGGTGTGCTTACATGTTGTGCTATAATTAAAAAAAAAAAAAAACTAGCTTTAATATTAATTACTTACCTAGTATTCGATTTGTTTTATAAAACTACTTTGGTCATAAAATAGAGAAATTTCAATAACGTGAATGGAATCTATTGATCAAGACAATTTGGTCAGACAGCGTGGTTTAGATTCTTGTGTTAATAATACTAATTGTTAGCTAGTTTCTTCTCACGAGGATAGATAAATATGTTGGAATACATACACTAATATAAGATTACCTTTCCAGAGACAAGATAGATGTAACAGAAAAGAATGTGGCGGACGTTGTAGTGAAGAAACTAGCCGAGCTTGATGCCAGTAAGAATATGATTGAGCAGTACAGGCAATCCATCGAAGTGAGTACCAAACACATTGCATTACACCAAATACAAATATTCACATTATTTTCTATCTATCTTCTTCAGATTTAGCCAAAAATTTGTACCAAACGCAAGAATTTAAGCAGCAAATAAGGCATTTAATGAATAAGTAATTTCTTGAGAAACATTTTTGCTTAAGTTAAATTTCTAATTTAATAGGGATGGTTAATATATAATACATAGTTACATTATCTATATATTGGCCTAATAATAGATACTTTATATATTGATTATTCAATATATAAAATAAAAATGAGTGATGTCTTTTTCCACTAGCAATATCCAGAGAAACCCAATATATAGATATCGGAGTAGTACGGATTTATCCAGGGGCAAAAGGGATTGTTAGAAATGGAAACTGAGAATCCCATTGCTAGCAATATACCCAACCAGGTCGACCTCCTCGCGGTTCCCCCTGGAAGCTATCATGGTTAATTCCTGATGAATTCATCGTGATGGGCTAACTGGCCTGTTTTCATTCTCATCTATCACCCTTCACTGGTGCTCCGCCAGCGTATTCCGTTAGCGCAGGCGGGGTTACCATACCATTTTCACCCATCAAAAAAAGTACTGATTTATCCAATATCTACATTTTAATGTAACATCCAAATCAATGTATTTGTAATATATGATACTTTGTTTGTCATTAAATAAATAAATATTATTGTCACTGGTGATCAATGAGGATAAAGGCCATTGAAAAGCTTAATACTTTATTTTCGATTTAAATTAATTATGCCATCAATGCTATATTTGTCTTATTATATATATTTATTTTATATTTCGCAATTATTCCAATTAATTTAGTTTCAGTATAGTTTTTGTTTTCCCTTGTTATTGCATGAGCTTAATTTTATTGCGTCACGTGACAATTATCAGTTCCAATTATGAACTAAATATAATGCAGTGCGAGAGAGTGGGGATATCATATCTAGAATATTCAAATAATAAAAAATAAATATTCAACTGCAATATTAATAAAGTGTGATGTTTCATTTTGGGTCCATTAATTGTACAGTATTTCAATAAATTGATAAAGCACAACGGGAAAACAAAACAAAATAAAATTAATTTACTAAGCAATTTATTGACAGAAAAACATTTTTAAATTATACTAACGACTCTCACGCAATTATGCTTTGTAAAAGAACGCAAAATTACTGGGTTAATACTATAAACATTCTTAAAACATTTACGTTTGTATGTTCCATTTACGCAATAAAAACTCACTAGTTAGTAATTTTTTATTTGCCGTTATGTTTCTTTTATTAAAATTTTCCATTTACAATTTTAAAACACACGTGATGCGATCGTGTTTAGCAATTTTGTTAGTGCCGTTAACTGGTTTAATATGAAACAGGTATTTACACCATTCAGGCCCTGTTTGGCGATCTCGAGTCAAGAATAAAGTGCCAAGGTTAATAGTCCAGATGTTGCATTACCACTGCTTCTAGTGCACACAACTCTTATGTTCTCTCCTTGATTATTCACTATGTTTCATTATGTGTGTATATTATTATTGACATTATTTTTATTGTTACAAATTCTTAATAAACAACAATTTGACATTAATTTTATATTGTACATGCCGATAAGGTTGAAAGTGGAATAAAGGACTTGTAAAAAATATTTTCATCTAATATATGTACCCATATTCGTGCAATAAATTTTGAAAAATTATAATATATCTTGAAATAATAAATATTTTAAATCGATTTTATAGATATAAAACAAAATATATTTACTATTAGAAATACAACTCAACTCGATTAAACATATTATATATACTATTTCATTATAAATATTATATATATATAAATATTATATATATATATATATATATATATATATATATATATATATATATATATATATATATATATTGGGATTACTTATCGAAAACTAACTTCATCCATACATTTTGTTATGAAGAATAAGAGAAAGAGAAAATATTCAATACAAAAACAGATGATGTTACAAGTAACATAATCTGGTAAAATCGACTCTATTAGCAACGATATAACAAGTTATATCGTTGCTAATGCTAATAGAGTCGATTTTGAGGCGCGATTTCTCTAAGCCTATTTCTAAAATTAAAAATTATAATAATAATATGATATCACAGTAAAATTTTTATTGTTAGACCCATTATTAACTAAATTTTTACATAATTTAAGTGAAAATTATTAGAAACCGTGTAGTCCCGGTATAGAATAGGCCAACTCCTTCTTTTCCTGTGGCTGTCGTTAGAGGCGACTAAAAGAACTTAATGCTAGACGGATGGGCAGCAGTGCCCCTCTTAAACATCTCTAAAAGCCTAACTGCGGTTGTTAACACTAGTTGATTGCTAGTAGCGCTGTTTGTCGGAGAAAAGTACATACATACATATCTGTCATGCCTGTCTCCCATTAGGGTAGGCAGAAACAATGGAACGCCAAATGCTTCGATTCAAACAAACCTCTTTCGCTTCTTCCACATTCATCAATCTTTTCATACATGCTCGCCGGTTACGGGTACTTTTAATTTGGCCCTTCTTCAGCACGTCGCCTATTTGGTCAACGTACATCATCTAGATACCTATTAGAAAGCAATCAGCCTATAAAGTAAAGAAATCATTGTTTATATACACTCCTCGCAAAAATTAAGGGAACATAAAAATTTTTGAAATTTTTGGGTGATTTTCAACAGGCTGTATTTCAGTGAAAAATAATCGTACAGGAAATTTAAAAAAAGGGTTTTGAAGCTTGAAAACTCTAGTTTTCAGATTTTAGTTTTCGCTCCAGGGATTTAGGGGGTTCTTTAAGGAACAATAGACTGTAAAATTTTCCTCAAACCTTAGCTTTCCCGCCCATATTAGCGAAGATACAGCCAAGTAACCAAAAAAGAGAAAAAGTCACTTTTTTCCACTTTTTTCAATTCAATGTTAGAGGTGGAAAAAAATTTTTTCTTCACTAACTCTTGACTGTGCTTAATTGGAAATTTTATGCAGATAAAGAAACTCGGCGCCCGCTTGCTGTGCGACCAGAGATATTAGCAGTTGAATGGAAAAGGATGCTTTTGCATTCAAAGTTCGATATCTCGGAGACAAATGGTCGTAATTGAGCCATCCAAAGCGATTTTTGAAGCTGAATAAACACGCTAAGAGACCTATACAATGGAGTAGCTCGAAAAAATTTTTCCATGCCCATAGAGTGAAAAACGAAACCTAGAAAATTTAGAAAAAAAATATTTTCAGCTTTGTTTAAGAATTGCATGGAAACCGGAGCTCAAAAATTTTTTCACCAAAAAATCTGAAAACTAGAGTTTTCAAGCTTCAAAACCCTTTTTTTAAATTTCCTGTACGATTATTTTTCACTGAAATACAGCCTGTTGAAAATCACCCAAAAATTTCAAAAATTTTTATGTTCCCTTAATTTTTGCGAGGAATGTATATATAAACTGACAATCGATCTTGAGATGATCATGCAGTCTGATCTGAGTCCTCAGGAATGGCAACGCATGGGGGGTGTCATGGGCGAAACAGTATACTCTGTTATGTCCATGGTACTGCTCATGTCTATAGGCGACGGTTACCACTTTCCATCAGGTGGGCCGTCAGCTTGTTTGCCATTCTAAGTTGTATAAAAAAAAATGCAGTATGTAATTGTAAAGCTTGCAGGATTTTTGTGACTGCCACATCTATTTATATTGTTACAATTGTATTTGTTATTAACTATATCCTGTGGCTTTTCCCGCATGATTCTTTATATAAAGTATTCTATGTTTTAAATTATGGTATAACCTATCTATGTATCGAATTTTATTTAAATCTGTTAAGTAGTTTTTGAGTAATTAAATAATAATCCATCCATACTTACAAGCTTTCGCATTTATAATAAATACATAGTAGGATTTCTATTCATATGTAGTATATTGGATAATACAGGAGAGAACATCCCGGCCACGCCCCGACATGTAGCTTCCGATGCTTGCGTTGACTCTTGACGTTGCAGCACCTTGTAAATAATCACTGTTAAACTTAGGCTTTATTTATTTATTTTTTATTAAACGATAGTGGAATGGTAACCTTGCCTGTGCTATCGGTATATACTGGCGAGGCGCCAGTTAAAGATGATAGGTGAGGATGAAGCAAGTCTGGTGGCCCATCGTGACGGATTCATTGAGAATTAATCGCAATGATTTCCAGGAGTAACCGCGCAGAGGTCGACCTGACAGGGTGTATTGCTAGCAATGGGGCTGCTAGTCCCCATTACTAACAACTCCTCTAAGCATGACCAACTTAGGCTGTACTTACCTGAATAAATACATACATATTTTACTATTTAGTTTTGCTGTATTTTCGCAACTGCCCAACTTCGTGATAAAAAAAGGAGATTCAAGATTTCTTTGTTTAATTCATAATAGTATCCATCACATATAAGCCATTGATTTATTTTTGCTATATATTCATGAGCTATTTTAGTCAGCTATTTGGGTATACTGCCTTAGTCGGAAACGGTTACCAAGCCGAAACATATTTGAACAACATTGCCCTATATATATTATATATGAATAAATAATAAATTATGCGTATAAAAAAATAAATGCGTTTAGATAAATCCATAGCTCAAAGATTCAAAAAGTATTTATAAATAAAGTGTATAAATATAATCAACTATGTTTCGAATTGGTATAATTTTTCCTTTGCGTATATCTATGCAGGATGCTCCAAATGGCTAGTTCTGATAATATTTAATAATAAAAAAAAATACAATAGGTGCTTTTATATCATGGGCGAAACAGTATACTCTGTTATGTCCATGGTACTGTTCATGTCTATAGGCGATGGTTACCACTTTCCATCAGGTGGGCCATCAGCTTTCTTTGCCATTCTAAGTTACTTAAAAAAATTCACTGATTTTTGTATCAAGTGAAGTAAATTTATTCTATTTAAAAATTCTTAATCGTAACGTCAAAATGAGATTCAGTTGTTACAGAATATATGAATAGCGCTTATATGTACAATACTAGCATTTTATTTATTTATTATATGTAAAAAATAAATGAAATAGTATATTATCTATTGAGTTAAGCAATTAAAAATACAGTAAAATAATTTATACTTTTATTTTTTTATAGACGCTCAAAAATCAGCTGGCACAATCAGGTGAAGAGGACGATTTACAGTTTGTCGAAGAGGTGAGTAGCGATAACGTAGTTGATACAAATATACTGCAATTGCTTTATGCAAAGCCAAGCCACATTTGCATATATATTTGTGAAGTGTAGTTTAAATAAATAGTTCTATATCTTATCTTAAAAGGGATGGTAGCAACGGTTTCTTATAGATATCAGTCAATTAAACAATCATTTATTTAAAATATGGCATTACACAAAAAAAAAATTGTCATATATGAACATGTTGCAACAGGAGCATTCCTTGCATAACTTACAGCACGTTACTTATAGCAATTCTATGTTAAAAAAAAAAAATAATAAATAAATTTGCCCTTTTATGATATAAATTATTAACATATTCATTTTGCAGGAGCTGCGATCGTGCAGCGAGAGTTCGCGGAGGCAGCGTTATGAAGCGCTGGATGCAGCGTTGTCAGCGCTTGCGACACTGCCCCCGTGGCCGCGCGTTGCAGCGCTGCAGCGCCGCCTCGAGCGCCTCGCGTTCCTGCTCGCCTCGCCGCCCGCGCCCCACTCGCCACCCGCACTCGCCCCGCAGCCTCTGCATACCACCGCCTAGTCCGCCACCAACAATTTAACGCTACGGTCCATCTAGGTATTATCTAACAATGTTCTCTCTTCAAACATTTGCAGAAGCATGGAATTTTCTACACGGATTCACGGTCACGCTTTTACGTTATTCATATAAGGATATGTATATGATTTAATAAGTCGCTATTCTAAAGCCAATTTTGGTCGTTCGCTTGCATGTCACATCTTAAAATCGAGACGACTTTTAACTTGTTTTATAAAGCTGTCAATAATATTAAAGTTAATACAAAATTATTTTTAACACCGTGACGTCAAAAACGTAAACCTTATTCATACAAATATAGGTCACTCCTAAACAAATAAAGGTAATAAAATTATTTTGTTGTTGCCCACACTATGCTCTCATTTGTAGTTATTTTTTAGTAACATAATCATGACATTACTTACGAGGCTAAAGTGATCAGTATTCCCACCAGTGACATATTACGTGCATTAAAATATACGATTATTTATGAACCAAACTATAAATAGTATACGGCCATACCTGTAGACCAAAACAATGTTTAATTCCACAACGTAAAAATATAACTAGTGTCTAATTATAATAATTACATTATACAGGTCTAAGTGTTCCCACTTATTACAATATTGTGTAATGACATATTATTATTCACTTGTACAGTAACATTTACTTAAAGTATTTTATAAAAAAAAAACATATTTTATTTATATTAAGAAAATCTATTAATTCATATACAAACAATATAAGCCAAATTGTAGAATCATGAATACTATTTTGTTTTTTTTCTTTGTGACGTCCGTCCTATGCATATTTCATGTCACGAATCGCTAATACGTGACCACTGACTCCGAGTATACATATAATAATTCATCTTATATAAAATAGATTTAATTAAAAACACAAAGTGATTCATATTCAATATTACGAACAAGAGTAGTGTGTTATATCAAATTACTATATTAACTGTCACAATATTTCTATGGAATTGCATGGTTCAATACAAATAAATTGTAGACGCTAGTAGATATATATAAGAGAGCGAAATGATTATTGATTTTGAAAAAGGATTGTTATTTGATTGATCTCAACATCAGTTGATTTGTAATTTAATGTTGTAAGTCGATTGTCCAATAACACCAGTAATTTATAGAAAAATTAAATATGACTTAAGTATGATTTTTGAAAAATGTTATAGTAATTTGCTATTTCTCAAAATTTTTATTGTATTTTTTTTTAATAATAATAATTATTTCATTCCTAGAATGCATTTAGTGATTTAAATATCAAAAATTCGTTTTGTCTTTGTTGGTTTATATTTTTTATATCGATCTACTTATTTCTAAATTAGTAATATAATTGAAGTATTTTAAGTGCCATTAGTGCTTAGGTCTCCTCTTGTAAGTGTACTAATGCTGGGTCTAGGTAAAACTGTTTACTACGTCGTTTGAATGTTGCATCACAATGTAATTGTTTATGAAAATGTGTATATAATAAATAAAAATGGCTGATAAATTAATGTAATCAAACTATTGAGGTCTAGTCAACGTAGCACGATTACTTCAATCATCACGAAATCCGAGAATTAATAATACAATATTATTATTGTTATCGAAAAATGTAATTTATGAATTATTAAGATTTTTTTTGTCGATTGTTAAATATCTGAATATCAAGTGTTAAATTCTTAAATTTAAATGTAGAACTGATTTTTTTTTATATAAAATTATGTTATGGTTGTAGCACGTACGCCAATTTAACAAGGTATGTTGGTAATTTAGACAATTGTAACAAAATGAGACTGATTTTGTATTTATGGTGAGTTGTTATTGATGGTCGTGTTGAACTGTGTGGAATGCGCTACGTCATAGTTTAAAATCGCGCAGTTTAAAGTATTATCGCACGCGATACAACGAGTCGCAACGAAATGCGTTCTAAAAATGGTTTTCATACATTTAATATGTGCCATTGCGCATTGTAGGCGAGCTTCATCGGCACGCTGTAATTGCATTGCATTGTAATGAGATCCGACACGTTGTGCGCGAATCTTTGTTATTATGCTTTCAAATGTATTGTTTTGTCATAAACTTAGTACAAACAGTTACAATGCTTCGTCCAAAGTATATAATCGCTTGCTTGCGGTGCTATTGACATGGATTTTTAAGAAAATCGGGTATATATTGTAAACAGTAAAATCGTATTGGTACTCACATTAGTTTGAGGTTAATAATATTATTATACAATTAATTATGCGATGTAAATAGTATGTATGTAAATAAATACTAAATTGGAAATATTTTTTGGTATTATTTAAATTAGCAACCTTCTCACGCTATAGTCACAAATAATATAATACTATACTAGCTATAGTGAATCATTCACGGTTCATGCGGCTAGGTTGTGAAACTCTCTTCCAGTACAAATTCGTGAAAGCCAATCTCTGAATATCTTCAAGACCAGATTAAAAGAGCACCTTCTGTCCTCATAAATCTATTATATTTGTGTGATTATATATAAGTATTTTATGCAAAGTATAATATTTTATATATACCTATTCATCATTCTATACAAATAATTCTGTACTTTGAATGTAAGTATATTTGAATATTATAAGTAAGCGTTTAGGTCATCGTCATTTGATGAATGAAACACGACAACCGTGCTGTTTCTATTTGGTAGAAGAGAACTCTTACAGAGTTAAGCTCGCTTGTTGTACATCTTTGGTTAAAATAATTCGTAAAAATATATTCTACAGGTGCAATAAAATACAAATAAATAATTAATCCTGAATCAGGACAAATATATAAGAATATTCCAAAATTAAATTGATTTTTAATCCCTCTCTATTATTATTATTTTTTATATATGTTACGCGATATCTTCGCTAAAACAGAGCATTTATTTTTGCAATGGATAGGGCTTATTGCTATATTGGTCTAATATTAATTTAATCGCGATATTAATTTAAATAACAATGGGATCAACCTAATTTCTCGAGACAAATAACTAATAAACCATTTATAAGTACGGCTGAAACAATAAAATTATATTACAACTAATGGTATAGCAATATCTATATATTTGTACATAGTTATAATATCTATATACGGTCTAATAATAGACATATTAAATATTGGAACAGACAGACATATCCAATATGTAATATCGAAAAAACCCGATCGTAATGAATATTGTTATCCAACTGTTGTGGGCGATATCGAATTGGGTGGTCATCAGTGTCCTATTGTAATTTACTACTTATGAGTACTGAAACTCAAATGATATGGTTTGTTACCCTCGATGCTGTAATTAAATATTTAGTTTGTGTAAGAACTGTAGATGAAAGAACTTGGAGGAACTTGGAGAATTTTATACCAGGAAGGTTACAAACAAGCACTCATCCTTAATACCATCAGAGGAACCATAGTTTTTCTTGGATAATAAAGCGATAACCCTGCCTTTGCGCTAGTTTGCAAATATCGGTGAGGAGTGTAGGTGAAGATAGATGATGATCAGTTACCCCGTTGTGACGAATTCAATAGGAATTAGAAGAGTCGTGTGAAGGTCAATCTGACATGATAGGGGGGAAAGGGATTGTTAGTAATATATACAGAATCCCATTGCTAGCAATATACCCAAGCAGGTCGACCTCCTCGCGGTTCTCCCTGCAAACTATCATGGTTAATTCCTGATGAATTCATCATGATGGGCTAATTGGCCTGTTTTCGTTCTCATCTGTCACCCTTCACTGGTGCTCCGCCAGCGTATCCCGTTAGCGCAGGCGAGGTTACCATACCATTTTCATCCATCAAAAAAAAATCTGACATGATGAACATACAATGTAAAGTCCTTATAAGTAACAACTAATGGGGGGTTGCTATTCTCCATTGCTAAGAATCCTTTCCCCCGAGAAACTGTGGCTTAAATTATATAGTTTGGGATTACTTTCCAATACTGAACAACTATTGCAATGTACTGGTTACAGGTATGTTGCTTATATAAAATTAGACAAAAATATTTGGTTTGAGACATTTATTCGACATATTCCATTAAAATAATACAAGTTTAACAGTTATGTATACTTTCACTGTATTTTGCATATTTTTATTACAGTTTTACTACATTTCCTAATGTTGACATATCAAAATCTGTCAAATGAACATCTAAATACTACAAAATCTATTTTTTTGTGATTTTAAAACTGAACAATAAATTTTAATTTAAAAAATATACAAAATATAATGATTTAAAAAATGTATGTTTACCCTCTTTTTGCTTAATCATGTAAGCAGTAATTATTTTGTGATGTTTATAACAAATATCATTACTTCACCAAGTGCATGTAACTGCATTTGTTTCTACCTTTGTATTTTTTCTAAATCTACTAGAAAAAAAAAATACGTTTAACATCCTTCTGTCGGTTATTGCAATTATTGCAAAACATTTTATTACCAACATGTAATTTTAACATTTTACATAAAGGATCAACTGAATTTCGGTAAATAGCGAAATATGGAGACAATTAACTTAATTTTTTTAGAATTAAAAGTACTATTTTAATTCAATAGGTGGTTTAAGATCTATGTACTTAGTTTCAGCTTATACTGAAAATAATTTATACAATGAAACATGGAATATTATCTCCAAAATTTCAAAGGAAATATTGCATACAAAGCCTTACCACTTACCTCAATATTATAAAAATGTTATTAACTAAATACTGTGAATTAACTTGATGCCCATTTAGGACTTGTTTATTATATCTAGAACTACAGGAAATCCTGTACTAAACACCCAATTTCTGTAAAGATTTTTAACTATACATTAAAACTGGGTAAGTCATATTTGTCGGTCGATTTTTTACTTCATGTATTTATATTACGAGCCAAGCCCAATGAAAAATTTAAAACTAAATATATAAATATATCAGTCAATGATCGACGATGCAACAGCTCATAGGAAATTCATGTGTACGAGCTCGTCTATTAAGATACTTATGCATAATTCTTAAATATATTAACTTAAATATACATATTACACTATATCCACTTGTTCGATTTCATGATATCCTTAAATATACACATTTATAACACATCTTATATGACTGGTTAATTGATTGGGATTATTTAATTTCGATACCATTACTATGAGTGTGATTGGCAACATTTGAAAATTGACTATTAATAATAATATAAATTTTAGTACTAGAATATATAGTAGTAGATTAAACAGAAGTCTTACAAATAACGATCAGAGATTGAAAACTAATAGAGAATGTCGTTGAACTTCTATTAATTATAATAATAATCAATCCTCAAATGTTAGAAGTCGCACGCATACTAATGTTAGTGGAATTAAACAAAAACATTCTTATCAACTAACAAGTGATATAGACTTCCGCAAAATAACATCTACTTCAGTTAAATACATCTCATATACATTCTTGCGAAATGCATTATTACTTATACTTGTAACAATTACGACGTGTATATAAAAATACAGTGTTTATACAGACACAATGGAGAAATGATGAATCCCATCAAATACAATGTCGTATCGAGTACATAGAGTACATTAACACTTCGATCTAATCGACTTGAGTGTTTATTTACATAAAATACAAGATAGTTTAGATTCAAAATATGACATGATATCCTTTAAAGTCTTGAACATTGTCTCGTCAATGATAATCTTCAACTTTTATTTTAACTTTTGTGATAAGGTCATGTATGAATGTTATTTAACTGACAATTTAGAAAAGCGTGAAGTTAAAACTTTTGTTAATGACGATGCTGTAATCAAATATTAATTTGTAATTATCATTTGTTTGCTCAGTTAAATGCAAACATGACTGAGAGCTAAGTGAATCTCAGTTCATTTAAAATGCTTTAATTTAGAATCGGCTATTAGATTTTACAGACAAATATAGTATATATATTTTCTTTTCCTTGGATATTGTGTTAGGTAGTGAGTTAATAAATTTAGGTACAATTAGCTAGATTTTAACAAAGTAATTTTTATACTCATCATCCATGTTTATAAATATTTAGAAGACATTTATACACACATTAATATAAAATGCTCCTGATACAATCTACAATACAATCCAATTCACAACCTATTCCTTTTGTTCAACCTCCGCGCGTGTGACGACTGATATTGTTTTCTTAATTACTTTTTCAGTAATAAATTATGTCAAAATCTATAACTATCATCACAGAAAGTGAATGCTAACCGAGCGGGCGGTCCACAGATGCCCAATCTTGGATTTGTTAAGTCTGTAAAATATGGGCGTTGACAGAAGTATAAAGCATATAAAAGCTGTTTCTGATATCTGTATTAGGTTATATTTTAACTATTATTATTTTTGTTAAGACGTCAATATCTCAGTTAATCGGCGCCCTTCTATCTGTACAATATGTGTACAATTCCAATGAAATTAAAATAAATTCGTGCAGGTGCCGAGTGCAATAAGACCAGTCTAATGCAGAAAACACCTCCTGTCGTCTGACATATGAAAGTGTATATTCTGGACACATCTAGATTTTAGTTCAATCATTCGACTTATAAGGTGTATTGGATACAACCAAAATACACGCATAGCGAAATAATTTACAGTGACGGTCCAAAAGAGAGCGTGACCATGTGGAGGTGTAAAGAGACGCACGTGATGCAGGGCGATCCCCCCGCGAACAGTCTAGGTAGAGAGGTAGAGGCGGTGATAGTCGTTGGCACCGAAGGCGGCATTGCATTTGGGACATTTCCGCTGCCGCGTTTCGTAGCGCGTGCGCAGACAATCCCAGCAAAACACGTGGAAACACTTCGTTAGGACTGCGTCCTTGCGTTTCACCTGCGAATATATTTTTATATTAATATGAATCGAATTACATTATTTCATTTTCTTAAAAGCTTTCACCATTGCATATCTAGGATACAGCATGGAAAAAGTAGTCGATGGAGGGTAGAACAAGTAGACTATCTATAAATTAATAAAATTAGCTTAATTTTTTTTAGTTAGAACGGAAGGAAATGGGCAACCAACACAAAGTAGACTTCAGAGGGCGCCAAATTTAAGTATAGTAATATTAAAATATAAAAAAGTCTATCCTCTTAGGCTATAAAAAAAGCTTTAATAAAAGAAAATTAATATAAAGCAGTTTCCCCACAACTCACTTTGCATGATGGACAGGTAAGTGTCTCCTTGTATTCCTTGATCTCCTCGAGCAGTACCTCATCCATACTGCTGCCTGCTTGCTCCATTTTCTTCATCCTCTCTGCTTTACGCCTCAACATAGCAAGTTCTTCCTGTAGCAAGATAAAAAAAGAATATGTAAATGTGTTTTAAATAATAGAAAATGATATAGATTTATCTAGAATTCATAGTAAAAACTTACGTGTAGTCTTTTTGTTTTGTAAGCCTCCGCTTCGAGTGCGCTCGTCTTCTCTGCGACCACTTGTTGCGCTTCTTTCATTTGCGCATGATATTTCTCTGTGGGAAAAACACATTTACTGGCGTGAATTTACTGGGTACAGAGGAATAACATCTGAGTCCTCAGGAATAGCAACGCATGGGGGGTATCATGGACGAAACAATATAGTCTGTTATGTCCATGGTACTGCTCATGTCTATAGGCGACGGTTACCACTTTCCATCAGGTGGGCCGTCAGCTTGTTTGCCATTCTAAGTTGTATAAACAAAAAAAATTTAGAAATAAATTTCCAACTATTTGGTTATTGTTTTTGTCATTTTATTTATTTTTGTATTTGGAAGATCAACAGCCTTTCCTACAAGGAAAATCTAACAGTAAATATAAATTATAATAAGAAACAGATTAAGGAATATAAAACAAACGCGGGAGATGAGCAACAGTAAAAACAAGGGCACATACTATAAATAAAAAAAAAAAAGAAAAAGAAAATTATATCATGTTTAAAAGCTAACACTAGAAATACATATAAGAAGGATACAATGATAAAATCATGTTTGGCATCACTTATAACATATATGTTGAAAGATAAAACAGGCTAATTAAAGATTTTTTAGATAAAAAATTCCAAACTCAACACTCCTCTCGCCACTGTCGTATCAGCATTAAACCGATCTATAAGTGACTTATTAAACCAGTGATTTATTAAATATTATTAATAATAACGTACCAAGGTGCAATTTGAGGTCAGCGGCAGATTGTGCAGATTCGATTGCCTTCCGCTTATGCATCTCCATGGCCTGCTGCCGGAGGACTAGTTCCTTTTCAACAGCCGATAGCGTTGTCTGCAGCAAACGCTCCTTCTCCTCCAGCCGCCGCGCCACCGCGCCCATGGACTCGATCTGCTGATCTCGTGTCACAACCTGCACGCAGTGCACTCACATGACTGATGGATATATAATAATAAATAAAAAAACAGTAACATTTTTTTATGCAATAAGTTATAATAAGTATTTTAAGGAATGGCCATTCCTGAGGACTCAGGTGTTACTTCCTGTACCCTGTAAATTTACTGCCTTATTCCATCCTTATAGAATATAATATAATATCCCATAAAATATAAAACCGAAATTAAAAGGTATTCAAAGCACCAGTATTTATATTTAAATTCTTAGACAAAATCACAAATTCTGATGATTAGCGTAAAATATTGGTTGGATACTGCGCGCAAATTATGTATGTAATGTATATGGTAGATTCTTTTTATAACGTGCCAAATAATAATCATCACACAAATATAACTAATATATAAAATTGTAACTAGACAAAGTCTGTCCATGGGAGTCATGAGTCATCATATGAGTGGTGTTAAAAAGACTAACAAATGTTTACTGAACTCCATGCAGACGATACTGCGGGCAACAACTATAATTTATAAGACTAAGACAAAAAAGTGATTCCCGTGAGAAATTGTATACCATACTTGAGCGAATTCACGAACTAAAATTAATAAAATATATATCCTACTTAGAAATACAAAGCCCGATTCTTAAACTTATCACTATTATTTTGGCCAACATTACCTGCTCTTGTAAAAGTTGTTTCTCCTCCCGCAACAATTTGTGCAGTGAATTCGCCTTTATCCTCTCGGACATAAGTTTGAAGTTAGCATCGTCTTTTTCCCGAAGCTGTTGGATCAGTCGCGAGTTTTGCTCCTGCATGTCCTCGAATGCTTGTCCGGTTACTTCCATTTCATTTAATAACGCTTCTTCTTCCTGTAGATATATACACATGTATGTCATTTATTTTAAAATAAATAAATAATTGTTGTAAGTATTTATTGTATATTTTTATCCGGCTCAAAGGACCACAATTGAAATGAATTCAACCTTGATTGATGGATTTAAATCAAACGTCAAAGTTAAATAGAAATATAATTATTCTTCTATTAATGCCATAATAATTGATATGATAATAATGTATATCATCATCATACCAGCCTTTAATTGTCCACTGCTGAACATAAGCCTCCCCCTTAGGGGGTGCCAGTAGTTGTCACGCTTTGCAGGCGGGTTGGCAACCGTAGTTAGGCTTTAGAGATGTTTTAAAAGGGATGCTGCAGCCCATCCCTCGCTCTACCTTAGTCAATTCTTACAACACCCACAGGAAAGAAAGGGGGTGGCCTATTCTATGCCGGGACCATACGGCCATATATATATTCAATGGTAACAAAATAATAAATTGTTAGAATTTCCAACATTCTGTATCTTTTTATTGTGTTTTATATAGTATGTTTCAATAGGTTTTAATGAAATCGTAAACAATTTTTTATGAAATTATCACAGATACACACTGTAAACGCAATTTATAACAAATCAAAACATTTATTCAATTAATAAATTGCTATTACACATCAGAAGACTGTTTATGGTCGGGTCAATTATTCATTTGTTTATATTTTCATTAAGATAGACTATAAAAGCTGCGAATAAACGGAAAAACCACACATATTCTCTGTCGAATACATACGACGAGGGTAGTACAGAAATAATAGCATTTGTTACATAAATCCGAAAGATCCGAGTTAAAAAAGTCAAATAATACGTAAAATCATAATAGAGATTGGTTGGTTCGTTACCTGGGAGCCGGCGAAGGGCCTGGAGAAGGCATGGAGCGGGTCGGCGTTGGGCCTAGCGCACGACAACTGCTTCTGTAACTCGTACTTCTGCTCCTCCAGCTGCTTGATCTTGCGCAGCGCGTCCTCGTCCGCCACGCGCCGCTCCCGCTTGCTCTCCTGCCGTCATCATCATCATTACAACTAATTAACGTTTAACTATTGGAAACTAATCTAGGATTAAATACTCTCCATCCAAATGTTGCCTGGAAGAGATCGCTTTTAGCGATAAGGTTGCTAATTGTTTTCTCATTGTGATTATTTCTTGTAATTACTTATATTTATAAGTTTACTATTGTAATCTTTTGGAGGAAACAATAAAGAGTATCTATCTATCTTGGCTAGTAATTAACTATTAATAGTTTTTTTTTTTAATTTAATTATCATACATAAATACATTAAAAAAATTGGATTTTTAGTACCACTTAAACCTCTTGGGCTTGTGTGTGATACTTTACATTGGGTTCTCAAATATCACTATTTACATTAATATTCTGCTGTTTTACCAAGGTTGGACAGTAAATAAGCTCTCAGTTTAAATTTATTAGTAGTATAGGTATTAATATTAGTTTCGGAATGAATTCGTGATCCTTAGTCATGAGTGACTGTGACGAAATTAGTCGAGCTTTTTCGATTTAATTACACGTAAGTTAAACTGGTAGTTTTTAAATAAAAAAATAAATAAGTAGTATCTTATAAGAACACCAATAATATATGTAAATACCTGCGCCATCTTGGCCTTCTGGCGATGATCCTCTAGCTCCTGGCGCGCCTTCCTCTCGGCGGCCATCAGTTGCACCTTGTCGCGTTGTTCCTTGCTCACACCCTTGTACATGTCCAGCAGTAGTTTCAGTTCCTTCTGCTCGTTCACCGCTTTCCTGTTCCAACACTTTTAGTTACAGTAGCAGCACAGTACCATTGTTTTCAATGATTCTACAATAGTTTTTTATGCTACTTGAATGGCAAAGATGATGGTTTATCTGATGGAATATAGTATTCGTCGCCTATTTATATGTATATATACCTCTCATGTGTTGCCATTACAGATTTATCCTGTACATTCACTGCCATATTAAATTCCCCTCATCAAGTTTACAAGACCTTCAAAAACAGGCAAAAATGGTAACCTATTGAGAGTATCATAAACATCACTAAAAGCAAAATGTAAGTATCAGAATAGTGACACAATAGACACTAGAGTGATGTGACAATGAGAGGGCAGAAGAAAGTACTTCTGTCTAATACGCTGTGAGACTCGACAGCACTACAACAGTCTACTAGTGTCGTACACAGCGGGTGTAACTTGGTAAAAACGTCGAAGTATTTTTTCTAAATTTGTCGAGACAGTTTACCTAAACGATCTCATTAAATCCATAAAAACATGCAGCATGGAAGACTAAAAGTTAATATTACAAAATGTGACATGGTACTAACTTAAGTTGCTGTTTGAGATCCTTGATGATGAGCTCTTGTTCCTGAAGCTTGGCGCGATTGTGCTCCTTGGCGACGGCTGGCTTCACGTCCGCACTCGCACTGCTGCCGCCCTCGTCGCCTTGCTGTTTTGATATAAGTTAATTATTTGTTGATATCCAACTGATCTTGTCTTGTCTGATTTGAACTGATCTTGATATCTGAGGAATTGTTCGTATTGATACTTGCTGTTGATTTTCGCCACCATACAACCCGCCACAAATTAATATTTCATCCCAACCATCCAGAGGGAGACTTTGTACAAAAGTCGATTGCTTTGGTACCTCTGTCCCAGTCGTGTTTCAACCGTGAAGCAGTTGTGTTTGCATGGCTGTGTTTCGGTTTGAAGGGTGGGATATGGCGTGAATTTACTGGGTATAGAGGAATAACATCTGAGTCCTCAGGAATGGCAATGCATGAGGGATATCATGGGCGAAACAGTATACTCTATTATGTCCATGGTACTGCTCATGTCTATAGGCGACGGTTACTATTTTCCATCAGGTGGCCCGTCAGCTTGTTTGCCATTCGAAGTTGTATAAAAAAAAGAGTATGCTACCGTGTGTGGTAAGTACCTCAGGGTCGGGCTCCTCCTTTTTGACGGCGAGCGGCTTATCGTCAGGCGCCTCTCCGCCGCGGGCGGCTGCCGCCGTAGCCTCCTCTAGTTCCTTTCGCGCCTACAATCGTTACATCAAATAAGATTTTATTTTAAATATGAGGAACATTAAATTATGATACTTATAAACTATATTTTAACTAACTTCTTGAATCATTTAGAGTTTTTTTTTGTTCCTAGACTTGTTGTTGCAATACAGCATTTAATAGTATTCTAATTGACATAAACCTAATTTGAATACTGACAACAGAGAAATGACTAACAGATTCATTCTTAATTCTAGCATATACGATAGTTTGGTTGACAAATAAAAAAATTAAATATTACCTTATTCAATTCTTGACTTGCATCTTTATATTTCCTCTTGTACCTGTGAACTTCCCCCTTGAGTTGCTGGTTGTGGTTCTGCAGTGAAGTGATCAGGTGCCTCATCTCCCTGTTGATGGGGCCCGTCTGCTCATTCGCCGCCAAGTTCTGCTCAAACTCTATACGTAACATCTCATACTCCTTCCTCAATTGACCTAATACGTCTTCTAATTGTATCATCTCAGCGCGTAACGCCTTTTGCCTCGATAGCTCTTCACTCTAAAATACAAGCAAAGGAAATGTGAAGTACAGCTTTATAGAAATTAACTCCTGCAATGACATGTATCTGATAATACAAATTGACTACCAACTTCAGTAATGTTCTAAATTATAAAGCTTGTTTTTATTATTATTTTTTTTTATAACACAGGGGGCAAACGAGCATGCGGCTCACCTAATGCTAAGTGACTACCGCCGCCCATGATCACCCACAACACTAACGGCATTGCAGGTGTGCTGCCGGCCTTTTAAAAAGGAATATGATCTTTTCTTGAAGGTTATGTTGTTGTAAATATTACAGTATTTTTCAATCAATTTATTAATAATAAAATGAAAAATAATCGTGTCAATTGCAATGTCATTGATATTTTTACAGCTTTTTTTATAACAATGTGCAAACAAGTATGCGGCTCATCTGATGGTAAGTGACTACCACAACCCATGAGCACCCGCAACACCAGAGACATTACAGATGTGCTGATGGCCTTTTAATAAAAAGGTTTTCTTGAAGGTTATGATGTCATATTGGTTTGGAAATACTGTTGCTGAAAGTTGATTTCATAGTGTGGTTGTGCGTGGAATAAAGTTCTTTGAAAAACGCACAGTAGAAGACCGCCACTCATCCAGATTTTTTTTTATACAACTTAGAATGGCAAACAAGCTGACGGCCTACCTTATGGAAAGTGGTAACCGTCGCCTATAGACGTGAGCAGTACCATGGACGTAACAGAGTATACTGTTTCGCCCATGATACCCCTATGCATTGCCATTCCTGAGGACTCTGATGTTATTCCTCTGTACCCAGTAAATTCACGCCATATCCCACCCTTCAAACCGAAACACAGCCATGCAAACACAACTGCTTCATGGTTGAAACACGAATGGGACAAGGGTACCCAAGCAATCGACTTTTGTACAAAGTCTCCCTCTGGATGGCTGGGATGGAATATTAATTTGTGGCGGGTTGTATGGCGACAAAAATCAACAGCAAGTATCAATACGAACAATTCCTCAGAACACTCCCCATGATATATACATGCTATGTATAAGTTTCCATTAGTTTATTAAAAAACCAACCTCCATCATCTCTATCTGCCTTAGATGCAGGTTCTTGGCGTTCTGCAACTGCAACCGCGTCTCATCGAGCGCCGTTTTCATCTGCATCGACTCGTTGTACAGCACCGAGAACTGACTCTGTAGGCACTTGTACTCTGTTGTTTCTACGATTATCGACTCGGGCAATTGACGGATCTGTGATTATTTAATATATAAATTTATAAAAAGCAATTAATAAATAAAATAAAAAAAAAAATATTATTTCATCAAAAATTCATAGATATACTATCCACACATAATCATGTAATATATTCGAACACCTAACACATTTTCTAAATGTCTTTAATACGTCTGCTATTTTGTGATAGTAGAAAGGGGAAACATGGTTTAACCTTAGACTAAGATTAACATCGCATAGACACAGTACAGACAGGTAATTCAAATTGCGTTAAAAAGTATCCCTTTTTTCATATATGGTTAGAAACAGTGGTAATGTACAAGAGTTTGTTAATAATGGGGACTAATAGCTCTATTATTAGTAATATATTTCATTAAGTCAACCTCAGTGGTTTCATCTTCACCTATCACCATTCAGTGCACCACCAGCGTACACCGATAGCACAGGCGGGATTACCATTCCATTATTATTCACTAAGAACCATCACTCAGTGATACCCTGCAAACTTATAGAATACATGAAGTTACATGAAAAAAAAAAAAAAGTAAAAATAAAAAAATATATAATAATAAAAATATATATATATGTTAACTCACATCCATCTTGAGTTTCTCGACCTCCTTTAGCGTGTCACGGTGCTGACGGTGCAGGCGGTCGAGCTCGGCAAGGCGGTTGTTAGCCAACTCGCGTTGCTCTTCCAGCTCGGCCGCCACGTCTTCCAGCTTGGCAGCCGCCACCGCCGACAGCGGAGTACTGGTCGCCGCACCACCCGCTCCACTACTCGACGAGCTCGCGCCAGATTGGTGGTAGCTCTTCAGCTTCTCAATCGCCTCCGCCAGATGATTCTCGAGTTTGTCGTTGCGGGACCGCACCTAGTGTAGGCGATTGCATTTTCTAATAGAAATATCATCATGTAGGTTTATCATTCATATACCAATCTGAGCTATAAACAAAAAAGTGATCAAATATGCCCTAGAAGCCTTAGAAGGTTTACTGTATGGAATCTCTTTTTAGAGACCTTTAGAGTTGGTCTTTGTATTTTAATTATAATAATTATATGGCTATCCAATTTTCTGTTCTCAGGTAAAATAGAGACTTTTTTATTTTATTTTATACAAAAATTCACAGCTCTTAAAAAATAACTTACATGCTAAGTCTCTTATGATTACAGCCAATAACGGATTTTATTTATACAAACAAAAATTATAATTCCAAAGCGAGGTAGGCAAGTTAGAGTGGGTATATGTAAGTAATATAAGTACATGTATGAAAGAAACCATGTATAATAAATGAGTGTCCATAAAGTTAGCTTAATTGATCTATAGAATAAATAAAATCCATGTTGTTAAAGTTCAGATATTGACAGCAATGATTAAATAATACACTGTACGCGTGCGATAGATAAAATTATTTTCGAGGTTGTTTGATATGATCTTAGATCAATCGATTGATGATATAATTGAATAGGATATCATCATATACTGTTCATGCGATTATTGCTTCATATACAAGGTTTTTTTTATAAAACTATGTAAGGAAATAGAAATCGTAATAGTAAGATATTCATCTTACTAGCCTTCAAGCTATCTGTGAAACTGACTCTCAATTACTTATACTGAAGGTATTGTTTAAGCTAGCTAATAATTTTCCTGTTATTATAAAATAATACTTGCTATTATTTTACTGGATCTTACTCGCGTTATACATGTGAGCTTAAAATTTTTTTAATCCACTGAGATGGCAAATAAGCATATGGCACACCTGATGGTATATGGTAACTGTAGCCTATGAACACCTACAATACATGCTCATCGCCGATCCAGAAGAAACTTGTTTACCCCTTTTTCTTTCTGTCTGAAATAATTACTAGTCTATATCTTTCTCCATCCTGATAGTATGTGTATACTAAATATAATGGTGAATGGTTGAGCCATTAAGGCATCAAGGGGTAAGAGGACTTACTTTCAGATTTATAACATTTATAAGAAATGTAAGTGTTAGTCACCTTCATAAGTTCGTACTGCAAGTCGTCGATCTGGTTCTTGAGCTCGGCGTTCTCCGTGTCACGGCTGTTGACTGCGTCCTGCAACTGTGCGACACGCAGCGTCATCGAGTGGTGCGTTTCGTGCAGCGTCGTACTCAGTGCTTGCAGCCGCCGATTCTCCGCCGTCACCTCCTCGTTGGCAGCCAGCACTACCGTGTCCAATGACGGCGGTGGTGCGCCCTCTGTATCATCAAAAATAATTTATTATTCATCATTCCTTCTATGAATATAAGCAAAATGCAACTCATCACCCAATTCAAAATAAAAAATTCAACAACTGTAAATCTATTTTGGATCTTGGAGCCTCCAGACAAAAGGTTGGTACTGGCAAAATTTGTGATTTATCATCTGTCTACAGAATATTATTAACGACATGAGAATAAATCCAATAGAACAACACAAGAGAAGAAAATCTTAAAAAAAAAACTAAGAGAATTGGTATTGACCAAAGCACCAGATCAATATTGTAATTCCAAATGCCCAGCAGTAAATATGAACGATTACCTTCTCCTTCTCCTTTAATTGCCTTCCAAATCTTGTCATTCCTTTGTTGGAGCCTATCAAAAGCTTGCAGTACTTTGGCAACAGCCCGTTTGCTCACTTGAACTCGATTTGCAAGTTGAGCATCCAACTCCTCTTTGTCCCATGTTGATAACTGCATTAAAAATGATGTAGTCGCCTCATTCTCATCTAAAAATTAAAGATTAATCTAAGATAAATAGTAAAAAAACATTAGACTATCTCACAGAAGTAACTGAACATTTAATGTCATTGTGATAGAATGATAATATAACAGATACAATTAATATATTATTACGCCATTGGTAATTATATGGTAATTATTCCATAGTTAGTCTAGGTATTTAAATTAGTATTTAGGAGATTGTGCTTGACAGTATGGTTAGTCCAGTCAACCTAGACTTAAGAAGACCCATATGTATCAGTCATACTAACTTTCTCTTGCAAAATGCCTGTGGATATATTATTATTCTATGTACTACTTTAGAATTGACAATAGAAATCAAACATATATACACAAAGTATGGAAAAACAAAAAATTTTTTATATAAGAATTACTTTTGTTTTCTGACTCATCAGCTGTTTCAGCATCAAAACGCTGTAACAACACTCTGATGTCTTCATTTAGTAAATTCCAATAACGGTTCACAACACATAGCACAGCATCATCCTGGGTTTGTCTTTTTTCTAGTTGTTCTATTCTTGCTCTTAACTCGGCTTCACATCGGTGTCGTTGTTCTATTCTCTAAAAATAAAAAATAAGTCCTTAAACATTTACAAGATATTTTTCCATTACTCTTCTATTTCAGCTCCAATCTCTCTCTCTCTCTTATTTAATACTGTGATCCCGCTAAAATAAATGTTTTGCAATTTATTTTTTGTTTTATAAATTGTACACATCATGAGTATTATTTAAATACTGATGATGTGTTTGTGTGTAATGTGTGATAAATATAATTTATAGAATAGAGGTCATTATATCAGTTCCACTTCTGCTGCTGCTTTTTATATAGTAATCTATAGTTAATGTTATTTGTAAAAAAATATATAAATACTAGAACTGGTAAATAACAATAATTGTATGAAATTAATCACACTTATTGATTTAAATAGATGTTACAACTCTTTACATGCCAATTTACAGCTTAAATGGGTTTAATGATCTTACTTGTCTGGAGGAAAATATACATTTGGAATTTATATATGAGAACTAATTAGTACAGCTTCTGTAATTTTTAACAATTTAATTCATATTATGCATGTGTAGCAATTAATCTCTAAGATATTCTTCTAGCTGTAATTTGTAATGACTCAAGGATGAAATAATAAAGTAGTATGATTCTAATAATCTAGAATCCAATAATAAAAGTTTCATATTTATAACATATATTAACAATGTTGATCTTTACTTTGTGATGGTCTAATTGAGACTGTTATAGAAGAGCCAATTACAAATTACAGAAATAAATTACAAATAAGGATGGTAATTTTTTGTCAAAGTAAAAGTCTAGTAGATTAACCAATGTGGCTAAATTAAAGAACAAATCTTTGCCTCAACTTCAAATAATTAATACATTAATATGTGTGCTGATGCCATGTGACATAAACATTTTTTTTCATAAATATGTAATATTTAGTTAAAAGTCTGTTGTAGACCAACTTTCTTATATTCAAATAAGACAAATTTTGTATAAAACATTACAAATTTTGCCCTTTTACCCATGTAATTGCTTATTAAGATCAACTTTATTGTGACCTCATTTCACTTCATTTTCTTGATGTTAATGCCAAGAAGATAATACTGCTTCATATAAAAAACATAACATGTATATACATAATATAATACAGTTACAAAAAAAAATTATAAATGCATAACATACAATTATTTAAATGCAATTCTGATGTCCTTGCATAAAAGAATTGACAACCAGCTGATTATGACATACAATAACATGTTGTTGTATCAAGTGATAATTAGCGGTATGTTTGTGACGTAAATAATCAACATAATTACACACAAATCACCTGTGCCAATTTTTTATTTTGGAACTGCAAAACTTTTATATCCATTTCCTCGAGAGTGGACACGGGACCAATGAGATGGGGTTCAAAATGAACTTTTTTGATCGGAGGCTGGCTGCTGCCGTTACCGCTATCTTCTGCTCCACGTTTAGACATTTTGGCCTAAAAATATACAAAAATGCTTGATAAATTACCTAAAAAAACCTTGTTTTATCTTAAAATTTCAGAAGCTATCGATTAAGGTAATCCGAACGATTTAAGTAGTATAGGTTCACAATGACATTACATAGAGGTAGATGTAAATTAAAATGAATAGGTTATTATATACCTGCTTGTCAATATTGACAATTTGGGCGTTTCAATGTTAATTTCTAACTTTATTACTATGTGAAAATAAAAGGAAGTAATACAGAAAAGTACTATTCATTTTGTTAAATATTAAAAGATATCTATCTATAGAATTATTATAATACGGCCTAAAACAACACCTCAACTCAACCAGTCACCGTCTAGTATTAAATGCAAATGTGACTAGTGTAAAATAATGAATGACATAGTCTGTGGGTGAGGTGTTCAGAAATAAAAAGAAATTTAAAGGGAAAATACGCAAAATTCTAGTTGGTGCCTGTTATTGCCATTATAACCTTAACCTTAGATCTAGGTCTTTATACAAATAACAGAATAAATATAATATAACACACAAATGTTTCATTAAAAAAAAAAGCCAACTTCTTTATCCATGCAGATTGTACGTTCTGTACTAAGAACAAGTACGTTGCGTAAGTAAGTTACGTAGAAGGGCTAGTGTATATAGAAAAATGTATGTAAAATTTTTGTTCATATTGATATGTCAATTATTTGTTAATAACAAATTTTACATTACTAGATTATATATTCGACACAGTTTATGTAGAAAGTATGCAAACAGATTGTATCTGAATTTGGTAGGATTATACAACCGTATAACATTTTCTATGCATTAGAACGCTATGAATTGAGAAAAATAGCGGTAAATACTGATGGTATATCTTTTATCCTTTTTTTAATAATTATATTTGCATAAGAAGAAAGAAGGCAACCATATGATTTACAGTTTTTATTTTATCATTCTTTCTATATAATTTCTTGTTTTTAACGTTATACTAAGTTTATGGTTTATCTATATCATGACTTACTAACAGACGTGGTTTTCACAGACAACAATTTTTTTGATGATTATTGAAAGTTTACTCACAAAAATGAACTTTGCAAAATCTATAACGAGCAAAATTTTAAATTAATAACAATTTATTTTCGTTGTTACTTATAGATTAAACAGATTTTAATTTTATTTGCGTACATTATTTATAACAATTCCTTGTTCTTAGATATAACCACAAACATAATTATATATCTGTGGCCATAACACAACGTCTTTACTTAGTTTTTTAGTTTTAGGTTTGACCGTTAGATGTAGTCTTTGTATACTGTGGTGGTACAAGTTACGATAAAATTCTATATTTATTCTCAATATTTTTTATCTAAAATTTATTCAAACAGGTACATTATTTGCAAATGTTAATGTTGGTTAATTGGGTTAGAATTTGAAGATGAGCATGCATGAGGGTATACAATTAATTTATAATCAAATATACAATTTTTTAATTTACTACACTAAAAAAATATAACTACTTTTATATTTTATATCTAGGTATAAGTAATTCAAAACAAATGAAAAATATAGTATGTAGATAATTGTATATTTAATATAACACTTTGGGGTACTATTTACTTAATGATTATTTTTTTATTTATGTACAAAAGAAGACTTCCTTATTTGATCCTCCGAGTCTCATGACATGATTAAACAATAACCTTAACAGAAACACTACTTAATCCATAATAGTCCTGTACTTTAATTGATCTTGAAACATTTGTAAAAATACAGCGTATTTTTTATCATGAAATGTTTTTATATTCAAATTTGGATGTATAACTTCGGCTGTACCACCCATATTTTCAATAGCATCTTTAACAGTATTAAAATATAAAGAAGCACAAGCGCCCAATATGGCAGACCCAACCAAAACAGAATCTTTTTCATGTGGTTTCAATATAGGCAATCCAACAGTGTCAGCTTGTATTTGGACGAAAAGAGGATCCTTTGTGATTCCACCACAGATAAGTAGTGACTTGAAGGGTTGATAGCCAGCCTTCGTCAATGCATCTATAATATGCCTGGTACCGTACTGTAAACAAGAACAGAAATACTCATTATTTAGCAAGTAGGCAACACTTCAACTCAAGGCCCTCATAGAACAAGAGATAGCAAAAGATACACAACTCTGTTGTTGTCAAGTTTGCATGGATTACAGCGGCCAGTTATTATCAGATGGATATTAGTATGCTTGATTATTATCTTCCTTATATTTATAAAAAAAAGGGTAAGAAAACAAAATAAAAATTATCAAAGTATCATACCGATAAACCTTGTAATGTGGCAAGATACAGCAAGGCGAGGTTTTCTTCACTATCATTTATGGATAATCCAACAATCATACCTCTCATGTTAGGATCTGCTAATGGAGATCTATTTCCATGGAAATCTGGCCAAACATGAAACTCTTTAGTTAACAAACTTACATCATTCAAACCATGAGAGTTTGCCATTTTTACAAGTAACCCTCTAAGATGATTACGGACACTGTAAACATATATACATATTATTTATTTTAGAATATCTTTAAATATAAAATTATTTTTTATATCTATATACACATAATATAATTTACAATAGTTTCAGTAAATGAATAACAACATTATATACAAGATGATTATTCATGTATTACTTAAATAAACAAACAATGTCTTTATTAAGTATAGAAGATAATATATTATATAAAAGTGCTTACTCTCCAGTATTATGTACTTTCAATAATTTAACACCAGCTGGGTGGCTGGATATAATATAATCTAATAACATTCCAGAGGCACTTTGACCTGCTTCATTAAGCCACATATTTGGAACCATTGCACTGAAATATGGACCCCATATACCTTGAACTAAAATAGGGTTTTCATTAACAGCCATATGACATGTTGAAGTCCCACAAATCAAGCCCAAACGACTAGACATGTTCTTATCTATGCCTTCACCATGTGAACCTATCATACCGAGACCACCAGCATGAGCATCAATGATTGAAGTTGCAACTGGGGTACCTGGCCTTAGACCAAGTGTATTAGCAACTTCTACTGTGAGACCACCACATTTCTCTCCTGGCATCAACACTTTATTACCAATTTTTTCAAAGTTGTTTTCTGCAAGGTCATCTAAACCAATTTTAGATAGATAACTCATATTCCAACCATGTTTTCCATCAACCGAACACTCATAATTCCATTTGCAAACTAGAGAACATAATGATCTACTTAAGGATCCCGTAGCTTTCCATGTCAAGAAATCTGGAAGATCAAAAAAGTGTCCAAATTCTGACCATTTTGTTGAAAGATGCTTTTTTAACCATAGCAGTTTGGGCATCTCCATTTCTAAACTCACTTTTCCACCAACATATTTAAGTATTTCATGATTGGTTTTATTAATAATATCAGCTTCCACTTGAGCCCTGTGATCCATCCACATTATAATGTTTTGTTCGTTGTTATTGGAATCACTGACTGCTAATGGGTTGCCATTTTTGTCTAATGCCACTAAAGAGCAGGTTGCATCAAAACCAATGCCTTTTATGTTTGCTACATTTACATTAACAATGACATTCTGAAATTGCAATGATAATTTAAATATTAGAAGAAGGCTGTTACTAAAGTAGCCAATAGAAGAATATCTAAAAATATATATTTACCTTAATAACAAATACACAGCATTCCCATACATTGTTGGATGATTGTTCATAGTAATCAACTTTTGGTTTCCATGTTTGGAGCTCTTTAACAGATGTTTTCAGTACATGACCTTTATCATTTACAAGAGCTGCACGAACACTGCCCGAGCCCACATCAACTCCAATAAAATATACTTCGTTATTCATTTGTTTGAAAATAATTTAACCTTAAAGCATATACTCTTAATAGATAAATAAATATGACAGTAGTTATAATAAATTATGTATTAATATACACTTATTAAAAATTAGAAAGTTACTGTTTATTTCAGTTATATTTGTCTGTAAATATTACAGACAAATATAACCGAAATAAACAGTAGTGAAGATAAAATTCATAAATTATTTATAATAATAAGTTATAATAACACTTACAGTGCAGAGAACGCTACAATGTAATCACAGATTAGTGTCACTAACTGTAATAAGCAACAAGTAAAAAAATATAGACAAAATTTATAACCTTGGTTACAAGATAGGAGATAATATACCTATTATTGCTTCAATTACGTACAACATGTATTGTTATAGTATTAAACAAGAGATAACCTTGTAGCCCGGGTCAAAGCTTGAACTTTCCAGTACTATTTCATAAATAAGTACACGTAAATTACGTATTATTAATGTTACAAATATATACCTAACATGATATTGTTCTATTTCTTTCTTAATACGTTTAAACTGTGTATAAAATTTTAAAAGAAGAATTTAAGTTATTAGATAAATAAATACTAATATATATAACACAAAGCAAACTTTAGCAGTGCTGATTTGTCTTCTTGACATTTATTAATATTTTAAATATTACCGCCAGTCAGGTGTCTATTCATCGATCTAATGGGAGGGGGAGGGAGCTTTGGGGATAATTTTCGTAATATATATATATTTTTTTATAATTGACAATTGTTTGTAAAATGTTGCGAAATGAAATGCCGGAATTAAGCATACATTTTTACTGCTTATAAGATAAAGTTTAAGCAACTGTACTCTCCTTGTTTTACTTATGGTAATAAATGGGTTAATAAGTCAAGTACAAATAATACTTAGTTGTAGTTTGATCGATTACTACCGACCATCTCATAAGACAGAATAGTGAGGTTAATATATCTATCAATTTAAGATGTTAAGTATTTACGCATTTTTTAAATAGACAGTATAGCGTACTTACGTATTTTTAATATAATTTTATAGTTTTCATCACTAATGCTATTTTATCATCTTAAAGATGTATAAAAAGCTACATCCAAAGTCGTAAAGCGATCTGAAAAAAAAAAAAAAAATTATTGCCTACTTTGACAAACTAATGAGAATGACGTTTATTTGTTTACTTTTTCATTCTTTCATTTTAACTTTTACTTGCATTTTTATACAATTTATAATTTAAATTAAAAATATAAAAAAATATTTCAAACAACCACTAATGTTTTGAATGTCTATATACTTCAGTATTATTTAAAATTACATCAAGAATCGAGCTGTATAAAATAATTTGCTCTGACTAGCGCGAATTCATTCTTATTATTAAAGTATCTATCTATATAATTTAAAATAAAGCAATGGTACGCTTCAAAAACAGGTAACTAAGCTATTTAATTTTGCTATGTCTATATGTACAAGAGTATCATTTATTTAGCCTTAGTTTAAAAGAGCACAATATTATGCATGTTTACATAAAAAACATTTCAGTATAATTAACAGTTGTTTAGTAACCTCAGTACAGGATTTGCTTAAAAATGTATTTTTTTTATATTATTATGGTGACAAACAAGCATACAGCTCTCTTATGGTACTATAGTTTACAGACTACAATATAAAATCCATTCCGAATACTATGTACTAAGTTTTATGATGATTAGTTGAACTGTTGAAGCGTTAAGGGATAACAATTTATTAGGATTTTTGCAAAAATGAACTATAAATTCTTTGCAGGTATGTTACAGTGGAAATAGAAGCCCCTGAAGTTCCTGACTCAAGACCTCTCTACTTGAAGTCGAAAATATTCCATGAAAGTGTAATTAATAAAATACAACAACTATATGGTGATTTTGGAGTAGCAGCTGTGAGAACTGGGCTTCTAACAAAATACTGTAATGAAATTACAAGAATAGCTATAATTAGAGTTAGACATGGGCCCCATAGGTTTGTTGTCAGCAGTTTGCCATTTATTACTAAAATTGGTAAATTAGAAACAAGGTTAAGGACACTTCATGTGGGTGCTACATTGAAACATAGTTTCAAATTCATACAAAAACATCAAAGAGCATATTTAGATTCTGCATGGTGTTTACTGAAAACGGATGAGGAAAGAAAAAAGTTGGAAGCTGCTGTGATGGACTTCACAAAGACGGATGTGTCAGTAAATTTAGAGAACATCGTATAACTGTATTTCTTAAACTATTTTTTAATATACTTTATTAATTCAGTGTTTCTTTTTTTAAATATTTAATATATATGTTGCAGTCAAAACTCTTTACTAGTCAAAAGTACTATTGACTAGCAAAATCGGTCAAAACGACTTTTGACTGAACAGGTTGGTCAAAAGTGGTTTTGACTGAAAATTATTAGTTATTAGTACTTTTGACTACAAATTTGTGGTTAGGTTAGGTACTTTGTTTAAGTTTTATTGACTAAAGCATATGGTCAAAAATACTTTTGACTGGTTAAGAGTTTTGACTGCAACATATACATAATTATAAAATAATTGTGATTATTTTATGGTTTGAATATTTAGTTAAATACAATATTACTCAATATGGAACATGTATAATTTACAAATTTCACATTTTTTATAGAGTATTTTTATTTTTAGTGCCATATCTTGGTGAGTAGCATAATTAAACTATCCTTGAATATTATAATAGTCTTAATAATCTTTTTAAATTTTGATATTTGCTAATAAAGCCAGCCATTTGATAATGTTTAAACTTCGTAGCCATTATAATCTTTGTAATGCCATCAAAATATTGACTCTTCAAATTTTAAAATCATTAGCAGATAAGATCTGACAATCCATCAGTACTGTGTCTGTTCCAACGGAAGCTATTGTCAGCAAAGGAAATTGCCGGCCTTAGTACTAACAACATATCCTGTCAGGTCAATTTTTATGCGGTCCCACCCGTAAAACAATGTGTTTTTTTTTTACGGGTGTAGAAAAATCTTTTTTATGTTCGGCACGTAGGTACCACCTACATACCGATGATAGAACCTACAGTAGAATCTCGATAGTCCGAATATCGATTAACAGGACTTATTCTTCACGGCTCTAATTACTGATTTATAAATGGTATTATGTAATCCATTATAGCTCAGAAAACGTATGTACACATAAAATCGTTAACATAATAAAAAAAGCCGATCAAGTGCGAGTCGCACTAGCGCAACGATTGTCCTTCTCTCGTACAAAATCATTTTTGTGCAATAAATACAAAATTACGGTTTTCAGATTTTTCCTCTACTTCCGCTATATGACTGCTTTTTGCCAAATTTCATAATCCTAGGTTAATGGAAAGTATCTATGCGGCATAAATGGAATATAAATGGCCGTATCTTATTATTGCGTCGATTTAAAAGCTTGATTTTTTCACTGCTTAAAGAGATTACATACCTCAGTATATGATATTAATTTCAAATTGATATCTCCACGCGTTCCTAAGAAAAAAGGTCTTGACAGACAGACGGACGGACAACGAAGTGATCCTATAAAGGTTCCGTTTTTCCCATTGGAGTTACGGAACCTAAAATATTAAAATTTGATTATTGTTTGATTTGTCTTTGTAATCGACTATCCAGATATTCGATTACACGGAATACCCTTGGTTTTATTTGATTCGTATAATTAAGATTCTACTGTACATAGATGACGTGGGTTTGTGCGCCATGTTGTGGAAAAGTTAATAAAATTCTGGTATGTAGTTATTATTTACCTCTAATTGCGTCGCGTTAAGTCCCGATCGTGAATTTCTATTTGAATTTACAGCGGTCAACCGTTATTTTTTTTTTTTATACCACTGTGGTGGCAAACAAGCATACGGCCCACCTGATGGTAAGCGGTTACCGTAACCTATGAACGCCTATATATGCAATACCAGAGGTATTACGCGCGCGTTGCCGACCCTGAAGAAACCTCTTTCCCCCTTTTGAAGAACCCCATGCTGTAGTCTCTCGGGAAAACCTCGGCAGGGATCTCATTCTATAATCTGAGTGATCGTGGGAGGAAACATTTCTGAAACCGCGTTGTACGCGACCATTTAGGCTGTAAATATGAGGGTGAACTCCTTGACCTGTCGATGGCGAGCTTTACGATGATAGAAAGTGGCCGTAGGCATCATATTGAATAATTCCTCTGAGCACAATCCGTTGTATAAGCGGTAGAACACGCAGAGTGAGGCAAAATCTCTCCTAAGACTTAAGGGTTCGATACCGCTTGCAAGCATGTTTCGTAATTTTCTTTTAATATGACATGTGATACTGTTTATATCCACGTACATTTGTGATTATTTTCCAGGGAGGCGGAAAGTTTAGCCCTTTAAAAAAGCCTATATATACTTTTAGACATGTCTGCGTATAATAACTATGCTTGCATCTTTGCACTTCATTGATGTAATGACTATCTTCCGATCGTCTAATAGATTCATAGATTTAGTATAACGTACATATAATTGAGGCACCAATATGGATATATGCCTAACCTAGATAAGTACTATTCGGCTTGCGTGAATTTGCTTGCATGTCCTAGTAACATTATAAATATACAATTTCCTTGACCTTTTTTTGTTTGCTTTAAATTATTGTTAAACTTTTGATTTTGGTTCTTTATCACATTTGTAAATTTCATAGATAATACATTGATTAATACTGTAAGCAAGGATGAACTTATCTCTGAAAGAGATCTCTTCCAGTCAACCCAATACAAGACAAAACATGTAGTTTGTCGTCAGTTAAAATACGCGAGTGCTGTATCTAGTTTTTATCCACAGTTTTGTCCGTGTGATTGGGATATATTAATTGACCTATATCTTCCTCCAAAATATTAGAATACTACGTAAGTATAACGCTTAAATTCACGAGGATTGGAAAAACGGTTAAGTCGTCAAGAGCAATAACAAACACACTTACATTCAAATATCAGTAATAATATTTTATGTAATTGTAAAGTAAATTTATCTATTTATATAAAAGTTTCTCCACTAATTTCTAAATAGTAATTTAAAGAAGAGATAAAACAGCAATTTCATAGGTAAGGACCTAATACAGTGTGGGAAAGAGATTGTTGGTAATAGAAACTAGTGGCCCGTTTTAGTAATCTTTGTCAAGTTGACTTATATGCAGTCCCCTGAAAACCATCACGTTTACTTCCTGGTGAATTGGGTGTCATGATGGGCGAACAGATCTGCCTTCGTCTTCGTCTATCATCATTCACTGGTATCCCATCAGAGTCAATTGATAAGGCAGGCAGGATTATCATTTAATTTTCGTTAAAAAATATAAGTAGACTGATCAATGGCGAACTAAGCCCTACAAAGGCCCGGGAGGTCCCAGTTTACAAGCTTTTTGTTCAGTTCACATTTGTATGTATTAATCATCATCATCGTCGGCACCACCGACGAGCGATAATGCACAAGCGGAAGCGGACTGGACTGGTCATTAACTAGTGTGTGTTACCAATGACGACCTATGGAGCTGAAACATGGTCCTATACAAGTTGGCCATATGCAGCTTCAAATCTCATCTCAGCGAGCTATGAAAAGGACTATGCTCGTAGTTAGAAATGAGGATATCCGCAAAAAAACCGACATAGTTCGAAGGAAAAGTAAGCTGAAGTGACAATGGGTTGGTCATATGTGACTATGGCTTGAAGGATCGATAGCTGATGGGAAGATAGGTTTTTAAGCGGCGATTTCGCACGGTAATAGCTATAGTTATTAAATTGTAATGGGGACCACATACATATATTTGCACTGGCCAAAAGACTTAGCTCGGCTGCTTTTGCTATCAGAAAAATTAGACAGTTAATTGATTAAGCTAGTGTATTTTAGTTATTTCCACAGTATAATGTCGTATATTATGCGGGAGGGCGGCTGATATAGATTCAATTTTTATATTACAAAAAAGAGCAATTCGTTCAATATATAATTTACCGTGTCGCGAATCTCTCAGAGAACGCTTTTAAGAAACAGGTATCCTTACTATTTCCCTGTCAATATATATATATGAAAATATTATGTACGGACGTAAAAACTTAAATTTATTCACAAAGAATAGTCACTTACATGCTTTCAATACAAGGAATAAAAATAAATTAAATATGCCTAGTTTTCGTCTTAAAAAAGTAAGTACTATATCTTTCATGGGACATTGTATACGTTTTTATAATAAATTGCCAGATAATGTTTTGAATTTAAATGAAGGGAAATTTAAGATACATGTAAAAAATACACTTTGCGCTAAAGCTTATTATAAAATAAATGACTACTTGAATGACTGCAATGCGTGGACTTAATTACAATTTTAACTTTTGTTATGATGCATATAACATTCCCATTGACATAATTATCATCAGATAAACTTATTATAAGTTTATTATTGACATGTTGTAATTTAAATAATGTAAATCAAACATTGTAATGGGGGAGAACTGTGTTACAGCCTATACTGTAAATACTATAAATGACGTAGTGGAGTAACTTGAAACAGTCATGGTCGCTATAAAGTACAAACTTGTGGCGGCGTGGTGGGCCGGGTCGATGTGCTCCCTCTAATATGGCCGAGTGCAATGATGGTTGGCTCATCCGTCATACTCGTGAACGGGTGTTGTATGTGGAGACTGGTCTGTTTGGGTTACAAACTGATTAAACTATTTGCTTTTGCAATAGCATATGCTGGTGGTCACTCTGTTCTCCCAAATTTGAATGAATCTGTATTGTTGTAAACAAGTATAAAATTTATTTGAAAAGAAAACGAGCTGAGTTTCTTGTCAGTTCTTCTCATCTCGAAATCATTCCGAACTGACGGTAGATTTGACATATCATAAGAGTCTGTAATAGACCTACATGAATAAAGATATTTTGAATTGAATTGGACAAACGCAGTGTAGGACGACCTCACTAGATAGAGTAACGACCTCAAATGCATTGTAGGAAGACAGTGTATATAGGTGGCTCAGTACCGTTTTTTATGGCACTTTATAGAGGAGGCCTAGTTCGGCAGTGAACAAATAATGACTGATATGATGATTATGATGATAAACATAAGGTATATTTTATATAAAAAATTAGAGATCCCTATGAAAATTACAATAATGTAATCCAATTATGTATTAAAGCTTAGGTATATAAAATACAAATAAATTTATCTTTTTAGATAGAAATCTACTCGTGCGAGGCCGGGGCGGATCTCTAATCTTAGATAATTAGGAAAATTAATTATTAGATATGAATTTAATAACAACATTGGATACAATATTAATTAGCAGCAAACCCAGAGGCAATTAAACATAGAGAACGTCCTAGACAATCACCTCATCAGCGCTCCTCTAGCAGAGCATATATTATAAATTTTAAGTAGTACTACTAGTAGTAAACATTGGAGACTGAAGTTCTGAATTATTTATTTAAAAATTGTTACATTAAATATTAAAAAATAATTGAATTAAAAAAATAAATAATTAGAAGTTTCTACGTCTACATTTTTGTCTAGCAAAATTGTTAATAACATCGTTATAGTTTGAAGATAGCAATAAATTTAATTCAATATTAAATATTGTTAACGAATTTAATCTCTTATCTGTCAACCATGACGGAAGAAGAGAAGCGCGAAGATAATTTTTTAGTCTTTTAGAGGTAGGAAAATTTTCTCCGCTTATCACTGCAATTGCTGAATGCCGTCGATACGCACATTCTTAAGACAATGTTAATGTTTTGGGTAAATTGTATAAATATCTTTTATATTGTGTAAGTAGGTGCATGTGTTCTCACTGACATAATTGATTATGTTTTTTTTCTTTGCTTAAAAATTCTGTATTCGCGCTCTCTTTTAACTTGCGCTCCTATCTAGTTTGCCTTAAGGATAATCTGCCTCTAATCAGACCTCACAGATTAAAAAACGGAATTTTATTATAAATATTAATACCTATTCGTTCAATTGAACAGTAAGCTTCTACTTATGTCAAGTATTAAAACTAATAATATAGTAAAAAAAAAAAATTTTTTTTGTTACAAATTGACTACATTGTTGTTAACAACATTTATATTATGTAGTTAACATACAACACGCATAGTATCGGAAGTTCTAAATTGATTCGATTAATCTGCACATTAATTAATTTGTAACATAACTATCATGCTTATTTAAACTTGGTAAGACGAATTTCTTAACAGACTTAATGCATTCTTTGTTGGCGAGATAATGATTGTGCCCTCTATATTAGTGTCGTGGCTTATGGGAGTCGTTTGTGCTTCTTATGTCGATTATGTCAATAACACATTGCAACCTGTTCAACGCCAACTTCTGGATTTCAAACTGCAACATCCGGTAAATAAATATACGTAATTTTTAATTACACAAGACAAATTTAATTTGCGACATTTACTGACCGAGATAAAAAGTAGCCTTTATCTTTGTCCATTCCATTTAGTGGGTACGTTGATACAAATTTCCTTGTGATCGGTTAAGCGATTAAGACGCTATGAGGTAACTAACAAACAATCAAACTCACTTTCACGTTTGTAACACTAGTAAGGATTACAGTATCATTCAATCATTCATAAATACAAAGAAAATGAATCGGAACCTTAAATTTAATTCTTTGTCACTCATTTGCTGTGATTTATTACATTAAATTATAACATAATACACCTCCCTCCCTCCTTTTTACTTGAAAGTTCTGCAATGAATATATATATTAAAAAATATATGGAATTTATACCTTGGTAAATGTTATTTTTAATGAGAGCGAGGGCACCAATAAAGGCTGATAGTCGAAAATGAAAAGGTAGGTCAGTTAGCCCACTGTGATGAATACATCTGGAATTCAGCACGATGATTTCCAGGGGGAACCACGTGAAGGTCCACCTGACAGGGTATATTGCTAGCAATGGGGCTGGTAGTCCGCATAAGTGACAATCCCTTTCCCCTTTTGGTAAATGTACTGACCCTCATATCATGGGGGGAATGGATTGTTAGTAATGGGGTCTAATAGCCCCATTACTAGCAATATCCCCTGTCAGGTCAACCTCCACGTGGTTCCCCCTGGAAATCATTCTAGTTGAATTCGTTCCAATTCTAGTTGAATTCGTCAGGATGGGCTAACTGACCTGCTCTCATGCTCATCTGTCATCTATCACTAGTACCCCGCCAATGTATGCCAATAGCGCAGGCGGGGGGTTACTATACCATTATCACCCATTAAAAAAAAATCCTCATATTATAACTTCATAATACACAACTAGTAACTAGATGACGTTTTATATTTAAGTGAAAGAAAATTTAAAATATATATAAAAAGGACTCTCTGTATAAAATCATATTATAAATTAAATGACTATTTAAATGACAAAACTGCGTGGATTTGAATTTTGTATTAATGTGAATTGTATTGTAAATGTAATTATTGTAATTTTTTTTAAATCAATATTATTTTATATAGTAATTATTATAATTATAGATTGACGTATCATAAGAATCTGTAACAGATGTATATGAATAAAGATGATTGATTGATTGATTGATTGATTGAGTGAAACACTTTACAATACAATACGTGTCACTGTGGTGTGAGGGTTCTGTATTTTTAATAACATAATTTATTGTCAATAAAGGAAAATTAAAAATAAAACATTATAATAGTTCAATAATTAATTAGTTATATAATTTGACATTTAATTTTAGGAACCTGTCGGAATATTAACAACAACGGCCGGGAGACCAGTAGATATAAGAGAAACAATTACTCTGAATAATGATGGTCTTACTTCAAACGAATATCTTTTGGATCATATGTTGCACTTTGATGCTGAGAGGATACCTGAAAGAGTAGTACATGCTAAAGGAGCAGGCGCATTTGGTTATTTTGAAGTAACTCATGATGTGTCCCAATATACAAAAGCAGACGTTTTTAACGTTATTGGTAAAAGAACTCCTGTTGCCGTTAGATTTTCAACGGCTCTAGCGAGCAAAGGTGGGAATGATCTCTCTAGGGAGTTAAAAGGTTTTACTGTAAAATTTTACACGAATGAAGGAAACCTAGATTTGTTAGGGTTAAATATACCTGTTTATTTTTATGCAGATCCTATACTTTTCTCTGCATTTATTCATGCTTTCAAAAAAAATCCACGCACCGATTTATTCGACTCAACTGCGCGATGGGATTTCATGGTACTAAAACCCAGTGTTTTGCACGCATTATTTTGGATCTTTTCTGACTATGGTATTCCAAATGGATACAGGAAAATGGATGGATTTCCAATACACGTGTATGAATTGTGTAATGAACACGGGGACAGATATTACGCTAAATTCAATTTCAGAACTGAACAAGGTTTTGAAAATTTAACAACAGCTGAGGCAGCCGCAATATCAGCTGAAGACCTAGACTATGGTATACGAGATTTGTATAATAATATTGCTCTGAATAATTTTCCGTCGTGGCGACTAGAAATGGATATTATGTCATTGCATGACATTACTAACATTGATTATAATCCCTTCGACGTTACGAGATTATGGAAAAATGGCACTTATCATACTGTACAAATTGGACGATTAGTACTGGACAGGAATCCTGATAATGTTTTTAAAGATGTAGAAAAAAGTGCGTTTAATCCGGGAAATTTAGTATCTGGTATAACCGGTTCTCCAGATACGCTGTTTAAAGGTAGAAAATTATTTTATAGAGATACATTAAATTATCGTTTAGGGACTAACCATAATAAAATTGATGTTAACGCACCGAAATATCTTAAGACTTATAATCGTGATGGAGTAGCACCAGTGGAGGATAATATGAAAGACGCACCTAATTACTATCCAAATACATTCAATGGTCCAGTGCCTATTGTCGATGAATCCCGTCCCAAACAACGAATGATTGTATTTGAAAGTAATGCTGTTGACTTACAACCTCATTCTGATTTTTACATATACGTTTTGAGTGATGAAGGACAAAGACAGAGATTTATTGATAACATTGTTTTAACACTTGTGCCGGTGGTTCCGAAAGTTCGAGAGAGAGCTCTGAACCTTCTTACTCTTATACACTCGGAATTAGGTAGAAGAGTTCGTGCGGGAGTAACAGCAGCAATAGCTATAAATTAATCAATTAACACAATATTTGGGTTAAATGTCTCTTACTTGTACATGAATAATGTTCATTATATAGATTGTATTTTTTAATAATATAATTAGAAATTTTATTACAATTGAGGTTCCTACTCATTAAATCTGTAAATCTGTATATATATATTATTTTTATATATTTGGTTCATATGGAAACAACATTATAAGCTTCTATTTTTATAATATGTCGGTACTAGTCTGTATCGTCAAAATGTAATTATAATTTTACTGTTTGTGTTAAAATAAACTAAAAAATACTATATTATTTTTTTTGCACACATTACCCAGAGCCGGTGAACAATGGAAGCAAATTTAACAAATTTAAAAATTAATTCCTGTTAGTCTATTGGTCATCGTGAGACAGCGGTTGAACGGTTTTCAACGAACATTTTTAATAATATTATTAATAGTAGGTATTAACACAAACAATGATACACGTTTTATTAAACAGAATAAGTAGATCAGGAGAATTAGCTAATCTTCTTTGTTTTTTTGAAGCGAAAAAAGGTAAAGATGAAGGTAAGTGAGAGGTCTTATCGGGATAAATCTCTCACGAATGAACTACAACGGAGGTTACACTAACATAAAAGAGGATATTATCATCATCATCATATTAGCCTTTAACTGTCCACTGTTGAACATAAGTTTTCCCCATAAGAGGAGTTTTGCTTTTGGCAGTCGGGTTGGCAAACACAGGCTTTGATGATGTTTTAAGAAGGACGCTACTGCCCATCCCAAACCATTAAGTTTCCTTAGTCGCCTCTTACGACACCCACGAAAAAGTAAGGGGTGGCTAATTCTACGTCGGATCCAATATGTAATTGCTGTTGGCCACAGATGGACTTTACAGTTTCATCGGGCGCATGCAGGGGCGCGTGCAGATGTCATTCCAAGCCCGTGAGTGGGGAGCAACGAAGTATCGATTCTTACCGATGGACTGTGGCGTACGTAAGGGGAGAGGTGTTTGGCAATGTTATTGGATCATCGAGATTCACGAATACATGCCTCGAGTGCGACGTTTAAGGAATCAATATGTTAATGCAAATGGGAATCTAAAAGAATGCTTTTTTGGTCGAGTTGTCTTTGGGAAAGAGTTTGATTCTTTACTTTAGCTTGCTAGTTTGTTTAAAATAGTTTTCACTACCACAAGGTTGAGGTCGGGGGAGACACTATAAATAATCCTTATCGTTTGTGTCTTCTTCAATGTTTCTTATAATTTCATTAAATGGGGGCGTAAGTAGGGATGTGTAATGTATTCAGTCTGAATCCTTTTCCTTTTTATGATATCTAATATTAAAAAGTATGAGATATTATATAACTGTGATGTATTCTTCTTTTCATTTAAGAGTTTCCTCTTGTCGGTGCAACTAATTCATGCATATTCTTCCAGCCAGTTCTATCCCAAGCCATGTCCTTGGCCTCCCTATACGACATGACACCTAGTATTTCTTTTATTTGCCCCATGTAATTATTCCTTGGTCTTCCTCTTTTGCTCTCTATTTTTCCCTCTACTATGCTCTTAAAAAAAATCGTCATGTCGTATAAGCTTTCTAAATAAAGCTACCCAGTAGTGAGATGACCTTGCTTTTGCAAAGGAATTTTGCTTAAAGAAGGTGCTTTCGTTTCATTTTTTTTTAATTAATACAATAATTTTAATTTGATACTGATATAAATTGGTTGATTTAGTTTGATATTTGATATAAATTTAGCTTTATTAGCTTCAGCCATTCTCATTACTACAAACAGTATTTTTATTGACAGGGAGAAATTTTTTGTAAGGATCGAAAAATGACAAAATGTCCAGATAATTAAATATATATATATATATATATATATATATATATATATATATATATATATATATATATATATTAGTTCGATTTTACCATACTTATGTAGATATCAGGAGGTTACGACTACGGGTAACGAATTCGAAATACTTTAACATTGTTAGATATTATTTATACGTACCACGTATTTTTTATATACATATATGCATGTTATATGTGTATTTCAGTGTTTTTATTTGTAGGGAAGTTTTTATCTTCAGTAAAAGTAGTATCGGCAAAATCGCCCCTCTAGCTAGTTTGCTTGTGTCTACCTCACGTACACTAGCTACCTAGTCGAAGCGTCGAATGAGATAAATTCTTTATTTATCACCAATCGTTTATTCTATCACTAGAAGCAGTATAAGTATGTCGTATATATACCAATAGGTATATATCTAGATCTATTATGAATCGCTCTATATTTATAAGGCGAAATAGAAAGCGCCCAATAAAATCACTCAGAATGGGGAAGAGAAGGGTTTGCTACTTATGGGGATATTAACGTTAGCCCCATTTGTTGCAATCCCTATCAGGTTGATCTCCATGCGGTCTGTCTTAAAAACTATACTAGTTTATTCTTAAGTTAATTCATATATCCGTCAAAACCTTGCACAGGGCAACAGATACTAAGGCCGGTCCTGACTCTAACAATCGACTATCTAAGGATATAACATATCATAACACCTAATACAAATACGCACCTACTATTGGTTTTCCCGTTAGACAAATTAAATTCATTTATTATCAATTATATTTGATTCACAATAACGTTTAATTATTCTTTTATTCAAGTTAATGATAGGAAATTCGTTGTTTTCGTTTATAATTTATACAGAAATCAAATTAACCATAAGTATTATAGTTATATAAACTCGGCCGCATCAATTTTGAACACAAAAGTAGTATTTATCGGCAAGAAAATGATTGTGTTTAACACAATACTCTTATGGCTTACGGGGATGGTTTGTGCTTCTTACGATGATTACCTGAATAACACGTTGGAACCTGCTGATCGACAATTACTAGATTTCAAACTGCGCCATCCGGTAAATATTATTGATATTCTATATAAATTGAGAATGCATTATCATATAAAATACAAATTATTTTATTTAAAATACTTTTAAAATAAAAGTTTCACCGTTTTCATTTAATTATAGAATTTAAAGTATGTCAGGAGCGTCGAATTGGAAAACTAATGTTCCACATGAATGGAGGCAGTAAATTGGATGTGTTAAAAAAGCTAGAGAAAAAAAATAGCTCAAGTGTGAGTGGAACTCACACGACTAGGGTTCCGTACATAAAAAATTCTGTAATAGGTTTTTGTTTTCCTTAGTTAAAAATATTTTGATTTTGCGTAAAGTATATGATTGATTTTGTTTATTCAAATATGTAAGTATGAGATAAAATGGTCATATCGTGTTTTTGTTTTTTAACGATGACAAAGACATTGTTATTTTTCAGTAGTTTGTGAATTGTGATTTTTTTTTGTTCTTGTGTTAACAATAATTTATAAAAATTTTAGTTTGGTCATTTCGAAGAAGGCGGAACTATGCGTGTTTAATTTTACATAAATACTTTTAATGATTGTAATGGATCCAGTATACAATCTTTACTATTCACAAAAAGTACTTATTCGGATATCCTATTCTGATTCAAAAAGGCATGTGTATATTTATAATAAAAATATTTAAAAATAGATATGGTGAAACAAAACAAAAGTATTTTGAATAATATAATTGTCTATAGTTGTAAGTACATCATTATGGTATATTAATTATTGGCTTTAATTTTGCATTATATACAGTTTACAATAATAATTAGAGTAATCAAAAATTCCGAAATACATGTTCATAAAACTCATTTGTGATGAAACTAAACAACTTTTCTTAAAATGAAAAGGGATCGGAAAATGGAAACATCCCTATTTAGAATAAAAAAAAAGAGCAAAAAAGTTTATGCTCTACCCACTCTAGTAAAGTTATGGTATGATGGAGAAATTTTTATTTCTTTATTCTTTATTGTACACAAACATAATGTTAAGAACAATTAATTTTAAACGTAATGTACAAAGGCGAGCTTAACTCTAATGAGTGATTTCTTCTAGCAAACCAGCATTTCTCATTTATTAATTTAATATTATCATGGAATAATTTATATTCTCACATTTTCATAATATATATTCTAATTTACAAAATAAACTTTATATAGCTCTCTTGGTATTTACATTTCAGAAACCTATCGGAATTTTATCCACAATGGCGGGAATACCAGTAGACGTAAGGGATACAACTACATTGAATAACGATGCTCTTGTTTCGAATGAGTATTTTTTGGACGATGTAATGCACACCGTTGCAGAGAGAATACCGGAAAGAGTAGTGCATGCTAAAGGAACGGGTGCATTTGGTTATTTTGAAGTAACTCATGATGTTTCTGAATATACAAAAGCTGATGTTTTTAACGGTGTTGGTAAAAAAACTCCAGTTGCTGTTAGATTTTCAACAGCGTTAGGAAATAAAGGAGGAAATGATATTGCCAGGGAAATAAAAGGATTTACCATAAAATTTTATACAAATGAAGGAAATCTGGATTTCTTAGGATTGAATGTTCCGGTTTATTTATACTCAGATCCTAATATATTCACTCAATTTGTTCATGCTTTCAGAAGAAATCCGCGCACAAATTTATTTGATAACACATCACGATGGGATCTTATAATATTAAGGCCTATTCTTTTGAATGCATTATTTTGGCTTTTCTCAGACTATGGATCTCCAAATGGTTACAGAAAGATGGATGGATTTCCATTACATACATATGAATTGAATAACAAGCATGGAGATAGATATTATGCTAAATTCAGTTTTAGAACTGAACAAGGCTTAGAAAATCTAACAACAGCCGAAGCAGCAACAATATCTGGTCAGGACCTGGATTACGCTACAAGAGATCTGTATAATAATATTGCTTTAAAAAATTATCCATCATGGCGAATAGAAATGGACGTTATGACATCACATGATATTACCAATGTTGACTTCAATCCCTTCGATGTGACTAAATTATGGAAAAATGGTACTTATCACACAGTACAAATTGGACGATTAGTACTTGACAGGAATCCTGATAACTTTTTTGAAGCTGTAGAATTAAGTGCATATAATCCTGGCAGTTTAGTTCCTGGCATTAATAGTCCTCCAGATACAATGTTCAAAAGTCGAAGATTATTTTACAGGGATGCACAAAATTATCGCTTGGGTATTAATCATAACAGAATTAATGTAAATGTACCGAAATATCTTAAGACGTATAATCGCGATGGGGTAGCACCAGTGGATGATAATATGAAAGATGCGCCAAATTACTATCCGAATTCATTTAATGGTCCTGTACCTGTCGTCAATGAGGCCCGTCCCAAAGCTCGAATGATTGTATTTGAAAGTAATGCAGTTGATTTGGAGCCTACTTCTAATTTCTATAAATACATTTTGAACGATGAAGGTAAAAAACAAAGATTTATTGATAACATAGTTTTATCACTGGTTAATGTAGTTCCAGAAATTCGAGAAAAAGCCCTAAAACTTCTTACGCTTGTAGACTTGGAATTAGGTATAAGAGTTCGAGCAGGAGTAACAGCAGCTAGAGCAAGAGTAAGAGACGAATCCTTGGTCACAATTCATCATTAGATACGTACTATAAAAACATCTTTTGAAGTGATACTACTATATATAGTTCCCCATCTATCAGAATGTCCAGGGTAATATATGTTCACTACTGACATTTTATATACTTATATATTTAGAGTTAAAAATATTAATTGGATATACTTTGTCAGAGTTAGGAACATATTTATATATTGGTTATGTTTATGTACAATTAATAGAGAGGTATAATAAATAATTAATTTATTATTATTTTTTTGTAAATAGCTTACAATGCATATTGTTGAAAAAGTAAATAAATAAAAAAGATTTGCCATATTAGTATATTTGGGATGAAAGAAGATATATGTTTTGTACCATATAATGTCTAACTGATATAATACGCCTACGTACAATACGCCTCGTTTAATGCAAGTTTTCAATAGACTTAAAAAGAAAGAGCTTCTCAATTATATTGTTTTTTTTTTTGTTTCTTGTTGTTTTAGTTATGAACTCCGTCAGCTGTAAACTGATTCGGAAAATTCTTTTTTATTTGAAAGGATATGCTTATAGATTGGTTCCTAAAAAAAGTTTTATCAAAATCGGTTCAGTAGTTTAGTTTTTAAATATAAATTACTGGTTCTGCCAAAATCGAAGTAGGGTTTTTTGTGGAACACGAAACGGAATTATTGGTAAATGTAGAATTAGAATAATATTGGTAAATGTAGAAGTAGAATGGTAAATATAAAAAAAATCAGATCTTATGGAAATAAATAAAATTATTTTACTTTTTAAGAGTGGTAGTAAAGGTAATCTTTCCAACTTTAGACTTCTTTTCATATTACCTACAATTAATAACATTTTTAGAAAAATAAAGATTGAACAATTAGTTTGTATTGTATTGTATTGTAAAATCTTTATTGTACATGACTCAGATTAAACACTGATAAATGATTTAATATACAATGGCGGATTTATCCCATAAAGGGATCTCTTACAGTCAACCTTTGAGAAGCTGAAAGAAAACTATGTAGAATGTATAAGGAATATATATATATATATATATATATATATATATATATATATATATATATATATATATATATATAGCGTATCTTTTTTAACATCACCAAAGCATAACCGCGGTTGCTAACTCGCCTGCCGCAAAACTCTTCTTATGTGGGACGATTAAATAGAAAAAAAGGTTCCTTTTTAAAAGGCCGGCAGCACACCTGCAATGCCGTAGGTGTTGTGGGTGACCATGGGCGGCGGTAGTCACTTACCATCAGGTGAGCCGCATGCTCGTTTGCCCCCTGTGTTGTCAAAAAAAAAAAGGTAATACGAACAGAAATATAACAAAACACTTGTCGGTTTGTCATGATAAATACATATTGTAATAAAATATAAATTTGAGTAAAATTTAACAGAAATAGAAATTGTAAAGATATTAAAAAAAATAGTGACAGCACACATATGGATTTAAATAAATTCAGTAATTAAAATAATAGAAATATATAAAATTATTAGTTTTTGTCATTTGCTAGTAAGTATATGCAAATGTATTTACCTAATAATTACTGTTGGAGAAGTCTTGTATACTTATGTTTAATTCTGAGTGCGTTTTGACGTATATAGGTACCTTTTTTTTAATCCATGGAGGTGGCAAACTAGTATATACCTAGTATAGCCATAAGTTCTGTTACAAATAAAAAAAATCATTTTTTTATGAAGTAATGTAATATTACTGAAATTTATACTTAATTAATTTATTAAAGTCGCACTGTTTCCAAGGGAAATATCGCCACTGCTTGCTCCAAAGATTTTTAAGAGACTCAATGTCGCCGTATCGTCACGCAGCAGGCCACGTCCTCTAAAACTGACCATAATTTGAAGTCTAAAGGGTTGAGGTCTGGGCTAGATGAAGGCCAATCTTCAGCTCTTATAAAGTCCGGAACGATGATTTCAAGCCAGGCTTGGTTAGTTTGTGCCTTATGACTGCGTGCAGAGTCCTGCTCGAAAGTCCACGGTATATTTTTAAAAAGTATATTGCTGAGAGGTTTCACAACACGATCCAAGACTGTATTTTGATACATTGACTGAAGTTTTCACTCCTTTTACACAAAAATGTAGTTATGTGACTCCTTGACAAGACACGCCCCACCAAACCATCACTGACGCAGGATGATGATCACGTTGTACTTTTCCGACCACTTGAACAGCTTCTTTAGAACTGTGTCTATTGTAGTGTTTTTCAATCATGAAAAATTTTTCACGAGGATATTTCTGTGCCTTACACCTACGTATCTGCGTACAGAAGGCGGTTTGATCGATCTCCTCCCTTTAATTGTAAAGATTGATTTAGGGCGTGTCCTGTATATCGATGATAAGCACCGAGCTTCAAGTCTTGTTTTATAATACGCGACAGAGTCCTAGCGGGATTCTTCATTTTTCGAGATAAGATTTTTGCTTTTTAATGGTGATTCGAAGAATTATGGCTTTAATAGCATTAATAGTTCCAACAGCACGCGGCCGCCCCGATCTTATCTGGTCTTCGACAGAGGAAGTGTTGTTGAATCTGTTGATAATACAATATACGAACATATGGCTAATACCAAGCTTTTAAGTGTCTGGAATATGACCAATGGCTCCATACCCACTTTGTACAAGACGATCACTGCAATCCCATTTTCTTTAACACCCCATTCCACATTGTAATTTGATAGTGAACACGAAAAATATGTGAAATGGTGCAGAATCGAAAGAACTTTTTAAAATAATAACGCGTTCCAAATTCAAAATAATTAAAAAGTTAAAAAAAAGAAAAGTTTTTATATAACAGTAGGGTAAGGAAAGGTATATTGGTGATAAAAATGAAAAAAACTAATTTTATAAGAATTTTGCAACTAAGCAAAAAGTCACTTTTGTTTTACTACATTATCTATTATTTGAAGTAAATATTAAGAATAGTTTTAGTAACAAAAATCTAATAACTTTAAGAATAAATCTCAATTTAGTACACAAGAAGCCGAAGGTAAGTTGGCGATACAGTTCGGTAGATTGGTGATACTGGGTAGGAAATTTGGTGATAGTATGAAAATCTCTTATAATCAGATATTTTGAACTTAAAATATAAAGTATTTGGTACTTTAATGAATATTATTCCATGCAACTATCACACCTATAATACAGCTGTTCTTCGGGATCAGTATCTTCGATGGATGCCCAGATCTCGTAGTATGGCGTGAGGCAGTACGAACACTGGATCCATTTGGCTCCATTTCTTTTTTTTACATCAGCTGAGTACAAGACCTCACATAATCCACACTCCCAATCATTTTCTATTTCTTGAATTTTACTTTGTTTTGCTTTTTGAGCAGATTTGCCCGACGTTGAGGGCTGAGACTGAACGTTTTCTTGCATCGAATCTTTATTTGCATTAGCAATTGTTGGTGTTAAACATTTCGCGCTAGAATCTCTTTTTCTTGACTTTTCTAGGCGTTTTTAAACTTTGCGTGTTTTTAAAATTAGATCTACTTTAGGTTTAGTATTTAAAGAAAAACTTTCAGATGCTGCAAGAGCTATGTTAGTTAAAGCTGAAGGTCGTAATGCTTCCTTTGAAATAGCATTTCCGTTTAAAGGACATATCCGACGTTTTTTTGAAAAGCACTTTCAATATTCCTTTTAGTAATCTCCTCTTGATTCTCTAGGTATCGCTTTAAGGTGCTTCATGGGACGTCTGCTTCTTTGGAAGCTTTATATATGGTTTTACCTTCATTTCTTACTAAACTAATGGCTTTTTGAAGTTGCTGCTGATTATATTTTCTATATTTACTCTCTTTTTCCATTGCCAATCTAGAGATATAACAAAAATAGGTTATTTAGTGATATTAAAAAATTATGTATAGGTAATTTGGTGATAAAAAAAAATATACTCAAACTCAAAATAAAACACATTCACAAATTCCTCAAAATAATACCTTTCGAACTCTATATTAGACTTCCCTAGTTTATTTTTAATATAAACACAAAATACATCTCAAGTTAACCTCTCAAAAATGTATCCAAAACTTTGGCAAAAACACTAAGAAACAACGGCCACAACTTAAGAAATAAAAACTCACCTTAACTGTGTCACAACTTCACTACAGTTTTTTTTTCAATAATCATTAGTTTATTTAAAGATTTTAGTAAGTTTTTACACTGATTCACTAATTTATTTCAGTTAATTTTAACGAAATACATAACGTAGCGCAAACTCAGTAAATAATGGCGCCACTGATGCACAATCAACATAAAAGTTTGTTTACTAAACGCAGGAATCGTGTATCGAAGCGGTTAATATATATATATCTTTCTCACTCTCATAACAACTTGCTAGCGCTGCCTCTTGAATGTGCTTGTACAGGTACACGAGTGGTATTCTTTCTAAAAACTATCACCAAATTACTTATATCACCAATATACCTTTCCTTACCCTATTTCTGATCAGACAAGTTATAGTAAACGGTCACTGTCGCCTACGAACGCCTATGGGTGCGCGTTGACGATCTTGGAGAAATCTTAATACTTCTTTTTTGAAGTATTCCATACTCTCTTTCATCAAAACGTCTTGAGACAAAATCTTGGCAAGAATCTCATTTCAAAGCCTATGCCAATTAATTTTTATCGTGATCACAGCATAGTTCAGTAGCGTCAGAAGCAGGTATACTGTTTAAAACAAGACTATTCCGATAACCAGAAATCCACGTAAAACTTTTGGAATCGTTTACATGAGAGGTCAAAAGTGTAAAATGGTCCTACACCAATTTAATTCCAAACCCAGTTTTTATAAAATAGCAACACTAAGCTGAATGTCACTTAATGTCACACAATTAAGTTAAATGTTACTTTCAGTTGAGTATTAGTATCACTAATATCCAATCAGCTTGTAGTTAATTAGCCATTAATTGTAACTTTTTGGTTTATTTACTATTTGAAGGAGATTTAAATAATGAAACGGAAAATCCTGGTATTTTTCACCGATGTTTTTGCTACGCAAAAATCTTCAGTGTTCTTGACGACAACTCAGTAATTATTTAAGATTATGAAGGACAGCCACCAGTATTACAGTTTGAATACCCTTTTGACAATTTTGTTCACTAATATATTCAGTTACACAAATTAATTTGAAGAGCAGTAAAAGTATGTATTACAAGTTAAAATACCGAAAACGGAAGGGGATATATATATCTACT